CTACTCAGTAGTTCTTACTCATTTCTCACTTTGTTCTCAGGGGATCTTTCAAGAGCAGAAAATTCTTGGACACTAGGGAACAGGTTGGGACCTTTGTAAAGGCAGAATTATTATTTAAATAACTTTGTCATTTCTGGTACCACCCTAGTTTTCATATTTTGGAATGTAGACTTGCTATATGAGAACCATTCCTCTGTTTAATCTGTATTGCCCGTCTCTCTGAGGTGTGTCCATCATGGGAAAGGTCCATAGGTCTGGAGGCAGTGTTCAATTTAGTGCCAGAGAGATTTGGGTTCCATGCTTTCGTTGGGAAGTGAAACAGAAATGCTGTTAACACTGGTACTTTTTTAGGAATGAGAGTATAGAAATTGATACCTGGAAATTGATTTCTGAAAATATAGTTTTTGGGAGGGAACTCTTGAAAGTCTTCTAATAGTTTAGGAAAGGTAATAGTTGCTTAAAACAATTGAATTAAAAAAAACAAAAACTAACCTCTACTAGTACTTTTAAGACCAATTTGCTGTATTGCAAACATAGATGCATCCTAGGGATACAGCAAAGGTAACTTTGATTAAGCAGTCCCAGAGGATATGGTCTCCTGGAGCATTCTGCCTAAGGTATCTTTACTAGTAAGTGGTTTAATTGGCATGTCCTTTATTTAAAATATCATCTCACCCTTGGGGAGATCAAATCCAGTGCTTACACAGGCTGGACAGGTGCTCTGCCACCAAGCAAACTCTCAGTCTTCAGTGGTTTGTAGTTTTTCTTCTCTCCTTTTTCTTTCTCTTTCCTTTTCTTGAGGAAAATGTCTTTTTAACTACTGGGGTCTGTTCATTGCAGAACTCTTTATCATGTTTGGGTCTATGGAATATTTTTTGGCCTCTGGGTTAACTAGATTCATAGATTGGAAACCCTGTTTTCGGCAGAATGAATTAGAATATAGTATTCTCTCTCCCTTTGATGGTGCTGGTGGTTGTAGGTACTATATATACATTTCTACACTGGGTTTCACTATGAGCTCTCTCCTCATATATTTAACCTATGTATTTTTTTTTTTTTTTTGTGGGGCCTGAACTCTGGGCCTGGGCGCTGTCCCTCAGCTCTTCAGCTCAAGGCTAGCACTCTACCACTTGAGCCACAGTACCACTTCCGGCTTTTTCCTTTTTGCTTATGTGGTGCTGAGGAATCGAACCCAGGGCCTTGAGCATGCAAAGCAAGCGCTGTACCACTGAGCCACCTTCCCAGCCCCTAACCTATGTATTTTTTATGAGTATGCTCTGGCACTTAGAGGGGCCTGAATAGAGGCACTTTGGGAAGTGCCATTCATGTATTCGTAACCATTGGTGTATCCTAGAGTAGCTGATGCAGTTGTTTGCTGCCTTGTGACCCTAACTCCCGTTTGCTGCAGTGTGTATCCGCTGCACAGCAGGGCAGATGAATGTGGAATGATTATTCTGGAGCTTGTACCATTTCTTTGTGGATTAACTGAAGTGTCGTGCTCTTGCCCATTAATACTCCTAAGCTTTTAACAGAATTTACTTGACAAGTAAAGGTGAAGTAAATTCTGAACTTGAGTTACAGTTGGAGAAAAGTGTATAACATTATTAATGTAATATATTACCAACCAGAGTATTATCTAAAATGGTACCGTTATAAATATTTGTGTACTGTTTTTTTTTAAGTTTATTCAATGCTCTATATAGCTGCTATATAATTTTTTATCATTGTATAGCCATCTCATTGCTGTCAATTAAGCATTGGGATATTTTTATTCAGTAATCTAGAGATAAATCTATTCTAATACCTGTTAGAATAAATGTATGTATATGCACATACAGGTGTGTATGTATGTATGTATATATGTATGTTAATCTTGTGTTTTGAGTCCTATGATTCGTGTCAGCAACTAGTCATATTCAGTCCTGAAGAGTGATTTTCTTCTGAATTTTTTCATACTTTGTGGCCTCCTCTGTCTCAGTACAGTGAACAGAATTTGTTCTTGTTTCATCTTTCTCTCTCTTATATACATGTGCATATGTATTTTTTTTGTCTTTTTATGTGGGTATATGCCAGTCCTGGGAGCTATCTTTGAACTTTTTGTGCTTGAGGCTAGTGCAGAACCACTGGAGTCATAGTTCTACTTCTGACTTTTTGGAGATATGAGTCTCATGGACTTTTCTGCCCAGATTAACTTCAACTGTGATTCTTAGATCTCAGTCTCTGAGTAGGGTTACAGACATGAGCCACTGGTGCCTGGCTTCATATGTATGTCTTTTAAAGCGCAGTGCTAATATTATTTGAGCACTTTAGTTTAAGTAGGACATGATGGCATGGACCTGTAATCCCAGGTCCATACAAAGTGGAGGTAAGTGGATCCTAAAGCTCAAGGCCAATATGAGCTACAGAAAGAGATCCTGTGTGTCCCGTCTACCGTCCCCCCCCCCAAAAAAAAAAAAAAGCAAAAGAAGAAACAGAAGAGGAAGGAGCCTGGCAGGGAGGCAAGGAGGAAGAATGGAGTGGGAGGAAGGAAAAGAAGAAAGGATCTTTACAATGTTCTTAAAGAATAACTCCTATTAAAGTTTTTACTACTGGCTTGTTAAATCATAAAACTTCCTCATATATTGTTTTACTCAGATGAATTTGAGATAACTGCTACATAATCTATATTTTACAAAAATGTTTTAGCAAGGTAGCAGATTTTCCATGCTGTTTTTAGTCATGGCGGGAAGATAAAGCTTCACCCATGTATACTCTAAGCTCAGCTTCCTTTTAGGCTGGTTACTCAGTACTAGCTTTTTCTTACAATAGGGATGAGTTTTATTCCTTCACAATGGTAGAGGTTACACTGTAAACAAAGTGAAGAGTGCATGGCATGGCTGTGTGCCTTTGCTGTGTCAGAGCTTCTTCATGCTTCCAGTGCTAGGAAGCATTTCTGGAAATCTCATTAGGTTTCTTAGGTTTTCTTTATTCTTATTTTCAAAGTAGAACTATAAAATTTTCCCTACAAACATATTCTTATTCATAAAGTCTTTTAATTCTTAAGATTAATTTTATTTTCTCTCTTAATTTTATCTCCAGAGGCTGAGATCTGAGGATCATTGTTCAAAGCCAGCCTGGGCAGGAAACTCCATGAGACTCTTAACTCTAATAAACTACTCAAAAAAGCCAGAAGTGGTGCTGTGGCTCAAGTGGTAGAGCACTAGCCTTGGACAAGGCCCAGGCCCTAAGTTCAAGCCTTAGGACTGGCAAAAAACAAACAAAAAAACCCTGAACTTATGGATGTTAATATCTTGATTTCACTAGACTAAGTCTCAAAAGTATCCAATCAAGGGGAGTCTTAAACAGTTCCTAGTACCAAAGATGCATATTTTCCACTGAGTCTGTTTGTGTAGGAGCTGATCCACAGGGTGTAGAAGGTCTTACCTCCTTCACACTCCCATATAGGAAATAGGATGTCAGACCTGATTGATGACCACCACTCAGGTGATCCAACTCTAATTGTCACATTTGCAAGGCCACAGTTAATAAGGGTCTTGGATCTTTTGTTTTGTAGGGCACACTGTGGGCCAGGAATTGTGCTGAATATAGTGTCTGAGTATGTTTTATGTGCTGTATAGATACTGTTTGGTACAAATGACCACTTTCCACCAAGAATGCACAGTCCCAGAGGAAATAAACCACAGTGACTCTAGATCAAAGTGAAAGGTATGACAGGCACCCACTCCTCCCTAAGATAGAGGTTAAACATTGCTAGAGCACTGTTTTGTATGGTTAAAGTATTGTTACTGATAAACATTTGTGGTTAGCACCCATTGAAGTACTTCTTTTTCTTTAAATGTGCTAAGGTACTGAGTGTTGAGGAGGCTTAAGTTCCTAATTGACCTTTTTCTGCTGCCCCAGTAGCTTTGAGTAGAGGACTACCAATCAGGGAGGCTTGACTGGCCTCATGCTAAATCCCTGAGCACGACTGGCTCCAGAAGACACTGCCCCACAAGCAGCTTAAACTGGAGTCTGGCTCAACAGAAGATTAACTGTCACAACTGGCACTGCTACCCAAGACAGGGCGGAGGGGACTTCAGCTGAACAGAGTACCTGTGATTGGTGTAAAGAAATCTTTCATTTGCATAATGGACTTTTTGGTGCAAACACAGTCCTTTGCATAACAGACGAACTATATTGCAATTGCTACAGACACTTTTTTCCTTCCCCCTTCTGGCTATATAGTAGGAAACTCAGCTCACTTTGTCAACAACTGGGAGACACTCTTGTTGCTCCACTTACTTTCTCCCAAGTGATCTTGCCCCTTTAGCTGATCTCACAAAGAAAAAGAAGAGAAGCAACCACAGTGAAAGGGAGGAAGCTGCTCTTACAAGAAGCTGTGCAGCAGAGCAGGCAGCAAGTGGCAACAGATAAGATTGGTGTGTGGTAGAAGGCTTCAGGTTCTCTGGAGTATGAGATTCTTGGGTGGAGAGATCCCTCCTGCTGCAGGAGATTAACACGTTAAGGCCCTGAATCCTGTGCCACAATTCTACCTGTCCAAGCTTGAGGACTGACTGTCACTGGCCACTGTCATCTACTACTGCAGTACCACAAGGACCTGGAGTAACTGAAGTAGCCTCTTCTCGTTTACTCATAATCTCTATCTGGGTAGAACAAAAGGACCCCACCTAGCTGGTTTGTAACAAAAGAAGGCAAATGTAACAAAAGAATTCAGAAATGCTTTCTTAGAATATTGATGTGGTTTCTAAATATTGTCAGTTTAATACATGTTACTTTTTCATACTTAACTGATTAGTTCATATTAAAACTGCTTTTACTAAACTGCTTTGCAGAAGTTTTCTAATGGTTCTAGTTTTGATAATACATTTGCTAATATTACAGTGCATGCTGGATGTTCTTTGGAATGTCAGAGTTCTTTCTCACTTTTAATGCAATGTCAAATTTTATTTCTCGTCCTTCATGTTGGTTTGACTCTTGTGTTTGTGCTTTCCACTTTACAGGCATGCAGTATGGTGAATATGTTAATAATCAAGCTAGCTCCGCACCAACTCCCTTGTCATCAACTTCCGATGATGAGGAAGAGGAGGAGGAGGATGAGGAAGCAGGTCTGCTTTAGCTTTACACCAGTTTTTAATCTTTCCTACTCACATTTTCTTTCATTTCTACAGTCTTAGCCTTTAAAAAAGAAAATGTCTCTGGAGATTTAGCACACTGAATTTACTTGATTTGGGTTTTAGACAGTTGAAATATGTTTTTATTTTTTCTCCTTTGACTATTGCTACCATTTTGTTAGTAATAGAATACATCTTTCATGATGGCAGGTGCTTTTTTTCTTTCAGAAACCCAATTGTATTCATGTCCTGTGTAAAGCCTTGCATCCTGATTGAAGCCCTTGCTGTAGCTCCCTTTGGGAAATAATGTTTTCCGCATTTGAACCATTTGAATAGAGAAATAGATGAGGTCCTCTTGGTATGTCTTGTAATATACTTAGAAAACTCAGAATTTATAGTTATTTTCTTGTTTATAAAGTAGTTAGTTGCTTATAGCATCTCAGAGAAGTCATGCAGCCTGGCACTGGTGTCTCACACCTGTAATTGTAGCTACTCAGAAGGCTGAATCTCAGGATTGTGCTTCAAAGCCAGTCTGGGCAGGAACATCTGTGAGACTCTTAGTTCCACTTAACCACCAGAAAACTGGAAGTGGAGCTGTGGCTCAAAATGGTAGAGTGCTAACCTTGAGCACAGAAACTCAGGGGCAGCACCAGACCCTGAGTTCAAGCCCCAGTGACCAATAACAACAACAAAAAGAAGTCATGTACATGGTTGTGTAGTACAACTTGTTTGTTTTCTATCTTGATAAATAGAATACTCCTGAATATAAGCAGTTTAGTTCATCTGTTAATTTTAACAAAGACTGAACCAAGAATTGATGATCTGTCAAATTCCTGTAAGAGATCACAGTTCTCTGGTTTTATTACCAAATTTGTCCTAAATTTATGTAACAAAATGGTTTAATTTTCTGTACATGTTTTAAAATATTCTAATCTTTATGCATGATTTGAGGGGGATAAAATAGGAGGTACCAGGTGGGAAATAGCTTTTCTACTCTAAATATAAAAATACCGTGCCGGGAATGTGGCTTAGTGGCAGAGTGCTTGCCTAGCATGTATGAAGCCATGGTTTTAATTCCACAGTACCACATACACAGAAAAATCTGTAAGTGGTGCTATGGCTCAAGTGGTAGAGTGCTAGCCTTGAGCAAAAGAAGCTCAAGGACAATGCCCAGGCCCAGACTTCAAGCCCCAGGACGGGCTAAATAAATAAATAAATAAATACCTAGCTACCTTTCCAACATTTTAAAATAATTTAACAGAAAAGTTGTGAAAATATTGAAAGACTCTCATATATGCTTCACCAAGATAAACTATTTCTTCTCCACTTGTTTTGCAATTATCTTTGTTTTTCTACACCATTTTACAGTAAATTGGAGAGAAATTATGAACATTATTCCTGAATGCTTTGAAGTATATTTCACAATTATAAAGACAATGTCTTACATACCTCAGTATAGTTATCAAGAAATGGAACATAGATAAAATAATCTGATGCACAGCCCCACTGTGAAGTATTTCAGTTGTCTCAACCATATTTTTTTATTGTTAATTAGATCTTTTATAGCTATTTGAATGGTCCAGATCCAGTCCATGTTCATGCATTGAGGTTAGTTGCCAGGTCTTTTTATACTCTTCCAATCACAGTCCTTAACCTTGACATATTCAGAGAGTACAGGCCAGTTATTTTATAATGTTTCTCAATCTGGACTTAATAGATGTTTTCTCTTGATGAGATTCAGATCATGAATCTTGACAGGATTTCAAAAGTGATATTTCATCCTATCTGAGGCAGGTGATGTTAATTTGTTCCTGTATTGATTAGATTAATTTGTAGTAGAATGATCTAATTTCTCCACTGGAAAGTTAACTACATTTTCCTCTGGAAATTAATGAGCAATATGTAACAACATTCTTTCAGACAGTGTCCTGTACCTATTAAATTATCACCCATTTGGTCTAATACTCACTGATATTTTTCAAACTCCCGAGAGCCTTCTACATTGGTGAGTTGGAGTTTCATTATAAAGAATCATTGATACCTACCTTGTCTTGGAGTTGGCCAATAGTAGTTCTTTCAGACTGGACCTGAAAGTAGTTTGAAATGCTCCATGAGTCTTTGAGCGCTTACTTCTAGGTTCTTGTAGCAGGCTAAGTGTACTTAATGGCCCTGGAATGAGCCATTGCTTGGAGAAGCTAGGATCCTGGTTCCTTTAGTGGAGAAACCAAAATACAGTGTGATGTTTGCAGAGTTTGGCTGAAATCTGAGAAAAGATAATTAGATTGATCAGTGAAGGAATTCTTGTGTGGTTCCCCCTACCCCATATATAGCACTATATTGGGAATAGAGAAAGAGAAAAGAATATTTGAGTCTTTTTTCTCTTATCTGTGTAATGTTTACTTGCTATACCTGTCTAATCTTGATAGTCACCATGCAGAGTTGGTATTAACATAAAACCTGTCATTATCAATAATAATGAATAACTCAGAAGTATGAAGTTTTCATCTTTTTCCCTTCCTGTTAAGTGGAAACATGGAATTTGGCTTATACTTTTTTCATGTTTTTTTCCCCACTATGCGGGACTAAAACCTGGTTATTTTCAAGTTGAGCACCAAAGTTAATTTATTGGCCTTTGTTGACCTCTGTCACTTGTCTTCTAGAGAGAATAAAATCTTAAGTTTTCTTACATTTTTCACAAGCTTCAAGGATTCTTTTGATCTGTTCTCTTTCTTCCTTTCTCAGAATTTAGCTCCTTTTTTTTCCTTTGAAGCTGTAACAGAGTCATTAAAGGAATGAACAGGAAACGTCCCCCCTAGTTCTGTAGCAGTGGACTGATCATTCTTGTCACTGTGTTGGTGTGGAGAATAACCCAGAGCCACCTAAGGTTTAGAGTGGATAATCATGAAACCAGCACCGTAATGTGAGGATCTGAAACCGAAAGTGCTCCCAAATCCCAAATTTCCAGTCCCAAGATGACACCACAGTGGACAGTTCCACCTTTACCTCAGGAGGCGTCATAATCCAACCCAGGCACCCTAGAAATACCATATAGAATACCTAACATAAATGATATGTAAGTAAATTTTATATTTAGACTTGATTTTAAGATACCCCAGCACTTTTGGCAACTATTTCAAAATCTGAAAAAGAAACTGAAATGTGAAACATTTCTGATCCCAAGCAGAGCTTTTTTTACCTGTTTTTTCCTTGCTATTGCAGTTCCAAAGTCCAGTGCAGTAGCATAGCTTCTGGCCTTCAAAAATTTCTAGTATGGTAGGGAAGCAGATAGTGCATATGATTATATATCATATAACTTGGAAAGGAGAAAATGTCTTATTCCACAGCCATATAAAATATATTTCGAAAAGTATTTGGAATTTGAAAAATAGTGGAAAAGACCACATAGAGAAAGGAACTCCACCAAGGGGAAAGTGTTGTATTTGATGATAGAAGTTTTATAAGACCGAAGAGGGCACAGGCATGTCTGAGAATGCAGGTGAAAGGCAAGCCAAAATGTACATTTTTTCTACAACAGTGTGCAGGCACCTTTATTATTTAGGATGATGGGAAATAGTGGAGGTATTTAAGCATATTCAGAATATCAACATAAAAGTTTCATGTTCTGCTTGGGCACCAGTGGCTCACACCTGTAATCCTAGCTACTCAGGAGGCTAGATCTGAGAATCGCGGTTCAAAGCCAGCCTAGGCAGGAAAGTCGGTGAGACTCTTACCTCCAATAAACCACCAGAAAACCAGAAGTGGCACTGTGGCTCAAGTGGTAGGTAGAGTGCTAGCCTTGAGATGAATTGCTGAGGGACACCGCCCAGGCCCAGAGTTTAAGACCCACGACTGACAAAAAAGAAAAAAGATTCATGTTCTGTGTATGCTTGTTTTCATTTTAATGCAGATTGGAATGGTGTTGGCAGTGATGGCATGAGCTAAAGAAAATGCTAATTTACATAATTAAAACATGCTAATTTACATAATACATTTTAGCAAAGTTTATTTAGTTTAACTTTGTGAACTTAGACTCATCTAATAGCAGATGTAAAGTAATTCAATAAGATAGAAAATGTTTCTGTAAAATCATTAAAGTTTAACATTTACATCTGATGAGGCATAAAAAGCTCAGCAGCATGATTAAGTAGCATTTGATCTTTGAAATAATTTGATATATATAAGTAACATTTTATCTTTGAGCTTTTTTCAAGCAAAATTATTACTATATACATTTAAATTTTCTCAGAACTATCATAGTATTTTAGTGTTTTATTGTGCTATAATCCACAAAGCAGGGCTAGGAATGTGTCTTCATGGTAGATTGCTTGCCTAGCATACATGAAGCCCTGGGTTCAATTCCTCAGTAACACATAAACAGAAAAAGCCAGAGTTGGCACTGTGGCTCAAGTGGTGAGCAAAAAGAAGCTTAGGGACAGTGTCCAGGCCCTGAGTTCAAGCCCCAGGACTGTCAAAAAATATATAATAATAATAAATATACTCCACATACCATAAACCACTTACTTAAATTGTACTTACGGTTCAGTTTTTAGTATATTCACAAAGTTTGTCAGCCATCACTACTAATTCTAGAACTTTTGCATAACCCCCAAACAGAAGCCCCTTATGTTTTAGAAGAACTTTAAAGTCTAGCTGAGCAGCACACAGCTCTAGGCAAGCACTGATTTACTTTCTGTCTCCATACATTTGTCTCTGAACGTCTCATGAAGAGTACATGATACTGCTTTTTACTTCTACTTCTTTCTCTTAGCCCAAGTATGAGCATTTCATTCCTTTTTATTGTTTGAAAATCTTATGTATGTAGGTTCCCTTCCTTTTATCCATTCATGAGTTGGATGTTTGGGTTGTTTCTATCTTTCCACTGTTACAAATTGTGCTGTTATGAACATTTGTCAGCAAATGTTTAATATAGGCATATGTTTTCATTTGTCTTGTGTAGAAAGTCTGGGTTACAACCTTTTGAGAAGTTAACTGTTTTCTAAAAATACCTATACCAAATAAGTTATACTTTCCTATGTTGCCAAAGGTTGGTATTAGTAGTCTTTTTGGTTATAATTAATGTAGAGGATGTGAAGTAGAATCTCATTGTTTTAATTATGATTTCCCTGACAGCTAATGCTGTAAACATCTTTTCATATGCTTATGCTTTTGTTTATTTTCTTTGGAGAAATATCTTTGTCCATTTTTATCATAATTTTTAAGAGTTCTTTTTATATTCTAGATACTTATTAGATAATATGATTATAAATATTTCTGCCTTGCAACTTGTCTCTACTTGGTTATTTTTTCTTATTTTAAGATATAGCAAACACGTGTTGTTGTGTCTTACTAAACACATAGTAAAAATTGTTCAAATAAAAGAGAGATGTAGGCAATACAGGTTTCTTGGTTGTACTCTTGAGCGCAGTTTTGTTTTTTCTTGGTCTGTTGTGAACCTTGAATTCAGGGCCTGAATGCTGTCTCTGAGCTCTTTCTGGTAAGGCTAGTGCTCTATCACTTTAAGCCACTGCTCCACTTCCAGTTTTCTGGTGGTTAATTGGAGATAAAGGTCTAATGGATTCTCCTTTCCTGACTGGCTTTGAACTGTGATCCTCATTCTCAGCCTCCTGAGTACCTAGGACTACATGAATAAGCCTGCTAGAGCAGAAATATTTTTAACTTTAAGGCCCCTACTTTTGTTCCTTTTGCATTGGTGCCATATCAAAGAATTCATTGTCTGACACAAGATCATGAAGATTTCCATATTCTAAGAATTTTATAACTTGAATTTAGGCCTACTGTTTATTTTGAGTCAAGACCAGTATAGGAAAAGGGTCTGGCTTCATTCTTCTGCATATGGATATGACAAATTGTTCTAATACCATTTTCTGAAAAGAATATTCTTCTCCACTGCAATATCTTAGTAAATGGTTTTGTTTTATCAAGATAAAATTCCTATAACATCAAACTAACCATTTTGAAGTGGCATTTACAACATCTACCATGTTGTGCAACCCCCGCTTGTCTAGTTCTATGTCCTAAACTATAGATTGAACTAGACAGAGCCAAACAGTTTGATCATCCCAAATGGAAAGTTTATACTCATTAAGCAGTAACTCCTCATTTCAGCCTTCTGCATAAATTGGGAGCCACCAGTCTTTCCTTTGACTCTGTAGATTTACTATTCATAACATTCATGTAGATATGTAGCCTTTGTGTCTCTTCTTTCACTTAATATGTTTTCAAGTTTCTTTCACATTGCAGCATGTATTATTAATACTTCATTGCTTTTTTAGGACTGAATAGATCATTATATAAACATTATCACATTTTGTTTATTCATCTGTTGATGAACATTTGAGTTTTGGTTTGTTTTTTTTTTTAATGCTACTACTTTAGGACTTTTGTCTTTTGGGGATAAAGGGTTTCATTATATAGATCAATGGGCCTTGAAGTCATGTTCTTCGTTCCTGGTCTCCCATGTACAGGAATGTACCAACACCCCAACTTTGTAAGACTTTCAGCACAGCATATCAGTGTTCTGCTTTTGTTATAAATTCATAAAAAGTTCAAAAAGGAAGACCAACTACTTTATTAAGATTAACAGCATGTATATGTGTATGTGTGTGTGTGTGTGTGTGTGTATGTATATATATATATGCAGCAATTTTCTTTTTACAACAAAGCAGGCTGCCTAATACTTAATAAATATTAGTGTCTTCCACTTATTTATTACTTATAACTTCATATGTGGATATGAAATAGCTTCATTTCCACTATCTCATTTAAGCCTCACAAGAGCATTAGAAATATACAGGACATTAAGGAAAACACACTCATATTCTGAAGACAATATTATTGTAGCTTAGCCACAGTTATGTAGCATGTAAATGACAGAATTTTGTGGTCTCCCAGTCTGTGCCTTCAAATCACGTTCTTTGCTGAGAAGAGTGTTCCTACACCAAGAACTGTAGCTATTATGCCCTTCATCAATATGCTTAATTCTCGTTACTTAGTGAAATACTGCTGTGCATATTCATTCTTTTCAACCTCAGCTGTAATTTAAACATTGATTATAATGTTGATATTAAGAGCCAAAGATTATCTTCTGTACTAAGGAATTTTGTCACTCGGAAGTAGATCCAAGTCTACTTGGAAGTAGACTTGGGAAGGGCCTAATGCATTTTCTATTTGACTTGTAAGTATATACTCTAGCACATCTACTTAGGTATTTGTAGGTTTCCAATAAAACACTTGTGTGAATGAGAGAAATACATTTATGTTTTCTTGTCGATGTGTCCTGTCACCAGATTTTATCATAAATTGCAGTCAACTTTGCTCCTAATTGCTAATGTTTTGAATGAATACAGACAATAAAGATTCTTGTAGTCTTAACACTTAACCCTCATTGAATAGCCTTCATTCATATTCCCTTACTAAGTATGGCAGGCATTATTTCATTCTGCACATGAATAAACTGAGGCACATGAAAGCTTAGTAATATGCTAGGAATCAGCTCATGTCATGAACTAGAACATTTCAGAAAGCTTGTTGTATAGAATTCATTAAGATTTAATCTTATACTTGGATATCTATTCTCTTAAATACGTTTAATTGAATTTCATTCTGCTCAATTTCCTAATCTCCCCATGCTTATCTCTATTTGATTTAATAAATTTGTGTTTTAAAAAATGTTTCATTTTAATTTCTTCTTGTCAGAAATGTTCCTAGTTGAACACAACAAGTTGCAGCAGCTGTTGTATGATGCACTGTAGTTTTAAACTCAACAGGTTATTTGGGTTTTCCCGCAGGTATGGACAGTTCTTCTACTACGAGCAGTGCCTCACCCATGCCCAATAGCTATGACGCCCTGGAAGGAGGCAGCTACCCAGGTACCTTGTTTTGTGCTTGCTTCTGTTCACTTTAAAAGTTACTATCAGTTGGTTTCAAAGGAAACATCTGTTGCATTAGTTGCATTAGTTGACAGAAAAAAAATGGAGTGGGAGGACATTTTGCTGACATTTCTCAGTCCTAATTTAATCATGTCCATTGTCTTAAGATAACTGTGAGTATTGTTTCTAGGAGGCCTAAGGAAATTATTTTAGTGGTTTTTTTCTTTTGCCTCTTTCAAGGAAACATTTAATAGTGAGTAACTTTCTTCTTTCCCCTTCTTTTTTTTTTTAACAAAATAACTTCTTAAATAAATTTTCTATTTTTGTTTTTATGTTTAGGTCCTTGAATTCCTTTCAGCTAGCCTCTGACTATTCCCCCTGTGGCCTCTGGGTACCTCTACTTGGTAAATAGCTACTGGAGATAGGTTTTGGTGGCATCACTTTTAGCCATATCTAGAAATAACTTTAATGATTATTTAAGAATACAGGAGTAATGGATAGTATTGAAGGAAAGTACAGCTATTTGGCTGATACCCACCCCTCACACTTAAAGACTAATAGAACAAATAATTTTGTCCTCATTTCTTACCACTTTGATTATAATCCAGGATGAAGTTTAACTAAAGTTGGAGTATTGTACTTAACTGCATGCTCTCCATCATCACTATTCTCTGAATCAGTAGAAAACTTTAATCCTGTCAGCTTACTACAAAATACCTTCTTTTTCAGGAATATTCAAATATTCAAATTCAAATTAAACATTTTTCTTAGAAATTAATGGCTGTATACATGTAAAGTTACAAAGAGTTCCAAAAGCAATCACCATTGAAGTGTTAGGGAATTACTTCGCTCACTGAAATAGTGAGCACTACAACTCTAGCATTTTACAAGCTTTGAATTAACCTGAAATGAAATGTCACTTGTGACAATTAAAAGGCCACGGCCTTAACAGCCATCAATTTGTCTATAATATTCTGTCAACAAATTATAATCTTATAATAAATTATGCTTCAACACAAGTTTTCTAGTAGCTGTTTATCCTTCACCAAAGTAAAGGAAATATTTAAGCATCTATAGTAAAAATAGTAAATGAACTAAAGGCCTATTGTACCCTATTATTATCTATTATCCTACTTCTAGGATAGAACTGATCTATAGAACTTTTGAAAGGAGAAATTTAACTTTCATGTTTATGACTTCAATTTTTTTGTTTCTTAAATTGATGACTTGTCATGTTAAAAGAGCTTTCTACCTATGTTCCCAGAGATAGAAAGCACTATGAACTGTATTAAAGCGCTAATCCTATAAGAAGTCTTAAGAGGTTACCAGAACACCAGTAAGTTGAGCCTTGTGTACTCAGGACAGATGATAGCTGAATGATCATCAGAAGTGTGTTTTCAAAATTAGAGGCAATAGACTGAACAGAAAGATGCGATGCCTCAAGGAACTTTAAAAAAATATTAAGTCAGCTAATTTTCAGGATCTATGTTTGCAGTCTTATTGCTAATAAAAAATACCAATTTTAAGCTGGGCACTGATGGCTCATACTTGTTATCCTAGCTATTCAGGAGACTGAGATCTAAGGAACACAGTTTAAAGCCACCAGAGCAGGAAGGTCCATTAGCCTCTTCTCTCCAATTAAGCATCAAAAAAGTCCAAAGTAGAGCTGTGGCTCAAGTGGTAGAGTACTTGCCTTGAGCAAAAAAAAGCCCAAGGATGGTGTCTAGGCCCTGAGTTCAAGCCCCAGGGTTAATACAAAAATAAATAATTTTATAAGGAAAAATTAAAATGATCACACTGAGCTAGAGGTTTGACTTAGGTGGGTAGAGAGCCTACATCATGAGCCCAAGTTCAGATCAAACCTCAGTATTGCCAAAAATACTTTTAGGGGATTCTGGAAATGTGCTACTCCTACCATGGACACATTTACATATTTGGCAAGGTCAGATAAAGGACAGGTTAGGGGAGAAAAAAGGTAGTTGAGACTCCTGTGTTTTGAGCCAGGATCTCTGTATGAAACTCAGGAACAGCCCAGGTATCCTCCAACTCAGGATCTTCCTGCTCTGCCTCCTTACTCCTAGGATCACAGGTGCGAGCCACATGTCCCGCTTTGACAGTGTTGCTTTGCTATGGTTGCCTCTTAATCTCAATCCTGCTAAGAGAATAATAGCTTGGAACAACAACAACAAAAAGCTGTATAAGCTGTACTAACCAAAGAATGTATTGATTAAATGATACCTAGTGTGGAGCAATCTGTAAAACTAGCAAAAAAAAGTGATAAAGCTGGATGTTGGTAGGTAGGTTCGTTATTCCCTCTACTTGATGTGCATTTAGAATTTGTCAGAGTATAAAGTTTTGAAAAGAAAAGGGAAAATGAAAAGAAAAGGTTATTGTTTGCCAGGATCAAGTCTTTGATTTTCAGTTGTGAACACCATGTTTTCCCCCTTGTTAGATATGCATTCTTCATCAGCAAGCAGTCCTGCTCCTGATCCTGGCCCTGAACCTGATCCTGCTCCTTCTTCAGCATCTGCTCCAGCTTCTGTTTCTGCTGCTCCTCACCCTTCAAAAATGGTTAAGCCTTTTGGTTATGGTTACCCAACTCTTCAGCCTGGTTATCAGAACACTGGTTATCAGCACACAACAGCGCCGCTTAGCGCTGGAGTACATCCTACTAACCCTGTGTATTCTGGATTCCAGCAGTATCCTCAGGTATGCATTCAGCCATGTGAAGACTGTCCAACTAATGATCACTTTTTAAATTTCTTGAATCAGCATGCATTTGTGTTATTTCTATACACGCACTGAAGTGCTTTGAACAAAATCACTTTCTCTACCATATTCCTATTCCTTCTCTCCTCTCCTCTCCTCTCCTCTCCCTAGTGATCAGATGTTAAAGAGGTTAAATCTAGATTTAGATTTAGCTTTCAATCTGCAGTGCACAAGTATTCATTTTATAATCAGGAAATTAAATGTTAAGTTTTAAAAAAATGTAAGCTGGCATTGTCCTCAGATAATGACATAGTAGGATATGGCTTAGGATTTATTTTAGTTCCTGCTTTTCACTCGAAGCATTCTCTGTGACACGAAAATGACCCTGGTGAGAGCCTCCATGCACAGAACACGGACCTCCCATGCTCATTAACTGCTGCCAGGACCAGTCTGACATGACTTCTTCCAAAGCCACCTCTTACAAGGTCTTATCAGTTTAATTGTACACAAAACAATAAATGTTTCACATTTTTATCTTGAGAGGGAAATGATTGAAACGGAACAAAAATAAATATAGGGAAATGATTGAAATGGAACAACTGTTTTTAAACTGTTTATAGTTAGTCTTATGGAAATTATATCTTATGCTAAACTAAGACTGAAAATTAGAAGCAGAAACAGTACAAAGAGAAGATTGATTCTTGGAAGTGTTGGACAAGAAGAAAACAATTTATTTTGCATCAGTAAATGATGTTCTATAATTCCTTCAGGCAGGGTTTAGACCTTTGGCTAAATCTGACCTACTGCCTGTTTTTATGAATGAGACTATTGGAATATATCAATTCCCATTCTTTTATGTTACGTATTAGCTATAGATAAAGTTATTATTTGAGCATACACAACCTGTAACAGACCTTTAAATCTTTCATCGTCATTGTTTGGTGTTGGTCCTAGGACTTGAACTCAGGCCCTGGACAATGTCCCTAAGATACTTTATCTCAAGGCTAGCACTCTACCATTGAGCCACAGCTCCACTTCCACTTTTTTTCTGAGTAGTACTGGAGTTAAGAGTCTCATGGACTTTCCTGCCCGGGCTAGCCATGAACTGTGATCCTCAGATCCCAGCCTCCTGAGTAGCTAGGATTACAGGCATAAGCCACCAGCACCCAGCTGGAGCTTAAAATCTTATCTGTGTCTGTTAGAAAGTGTGGTTAAAGTGGCTGTGGCTCAAATGGTAGAGTGCTCACCTTGAGCTGAAGAGCTCAGGGACAGCGCCCAGGCTCAAGAGTTCAAGACCCATGACCAAAACAAAACAAAAGCAAACAAAAAAGAAAGTATGGTTGCATTTCATTTATGATTAACATTATCAAACCAATTTTAAGGAGGCCATTTACTTTTGAAGTGCTAGAATAAGGATAATGTACCTTAGTTTAGCTCTACGCAGCCTTTTATAATACCTTTGTAATACTTTATAATACCTTTATAATACTTTAAGCATAGTGGCATGGTTTTGAAAACTATTGGCTTTCTTTGTAGTGATTTGATTTGAGATGATCTTACGTGTTGGAAAACTTTTAAGGAGAAATTTTTTCAAATTTGTTTTTTAGGAAAGATGGAGCTGTGGCTCAAGTGGTAGAATACTAGCCATGAGCCAAAAAAAAAACCTCAGGTATACAGCCCAAGTCCTGAGTTCAAGCCCCAGGATTAACACAAACAAATAAATAAAAAAACAATTCTATAAGGAAAAAAATTAAAATTATCACACATTAGACATGTCAGGTTGATCAGTGGTTGGTAGTCAGTTGTGGAGAGGAAACTGCCAGTTTTTGGTTGGTTGTCAGGCTTGAGTTCTGGGCCCAGACTCTGTCACTTCAGCTCAAGGCTAGCACTCTGCCACTTGAGCCACAGTTTTTTGGTGGTTAATTGGATGAGTCTCACAGATTTTCCTGCTTATGCTGGCTTTGAACCACGATCCTCAAATGTCAGCCTCCTGAGTAGCTAGGATTATAGGCGTGAGCCACCAGCACCTGGCAAACTAAAACTATTTGAGGAAGTCAGAAATGAGGCACAAGTGGTAGACAGTTTGCTCAACAAATGCAAGATCCTCAGTTCAATTTGAAAGGAAAGGCAAAGGAGGAGACAGAGAAAGAAATACACAAACTTTTTTTCCTCGTTCTCTACATAATACAGTAGTATAATTACCATGTGCATAATCGTTTACACTGTAAGATTTAGATTGTAAACACTCTAGAGAGGAAGATGTGCTAATCCCTCAGGGGTATCAAGGGATAATCATCAATCAGGCTGTTACCATTAGGAACTAAAATTTTCATCAAAAGAGAACTACAGATATAAAAGTAAAATTATTAATTGAGTCTAGAAAACAATGTTAACTCATTTTTTTCTTTCTCCTTAAACTCATGTGTTTAATTAACAGGATTCTAGACATTCACACACAGTGGGACCAAAGGAGGATATTATTAGGAGAGGAATACAAAGGCAGCATCTGATTATATAAAATATTTATCAAAATGAGCTCCTGGAAATGGAAACAAAGTTTTTTTCTTTGTTAAAAACAGCAACAACAAAAAAGACTGTTTCTATTTCTACCATTTTGGAAGTCTGGAAGCAATATAGTACACTAGCACTAAGCAATCTTATAGCCCAGATTCTGATTTCTAGATATCATCTTCATTTAAAAAGAATAAGATTCCTGCAAGAAAACAGCAAAGGCTTGTTAGGGTTATTAAAAGGTTACTGGGAGCTTGGAGGGTAAGTAATAATAAATGAAGTAAAATGGCACTGGAGTCAGCTTGAAGGGACTTTCACTGGCCAAAGATTGAGTAGTTTGAACATCAAATAGTGAGTAATTCATTAAACTAATTTGAGTAACCACAAAGCTAAGAACTCCTACTAAAAATATAAGGAACAGAAAAGAAAAATGGGGGCTGGGAAGGTGGCTCAGTGGTAGAGTGCTTGCCTTGCATGCATGAGGCCCTGGGTTCGATTCCTCAGCACCACATAAGCAAAAAGAAAAAAGCTGGAAGTGGCGCTGTGGCTCAAGTGGTAGAGTGCTAGCCTTGAGCTGAAGAGCTGAGGGACAGTGCCCAGGCCCAGAGTTTAGGCCCCACAACTGGACCCCCCTCCAAAAAAAAAAAAACAAGAAAAGAAAAATGGGCAATGCAAAATTCAGTGAACAAATTTCTTAGTCATCAACTCATGCTGACAATTGGTAATTGAAAATATCTAAGCATTTATCCTGCCTTTTCAGTGTGAACAATTTAAGAAAAATACATTCTTGATGTTGAACAGTTGTTGCTGGAGTTTCGTTGTTAGAGTTGGTCTTTCTGATGAGAGTTAAGTGTATTCAGTATTTCAAGTATGTTTTAAATTGATTGCTCTATGGAGTAATTCTATCACTGAGCTTTAAATTTCTTCACCTTCTTGGTTTTGCTTTGTATTGAAATCTTGTATAAAAAGCTCTATTCACGTCTGTTAAGTTATTTTATGTTGTTTTGGGTTTCTCTTTTCAGCAGTATCCTGGTGTGAACCACCTCTCTTCCAGTCTAGGAGGACTGAGTCTTCAGAGTTCTCCACAGCCAGAAAGCCTGAGGCCTGTAAACCTCACTCAGGAGAAGGATATTTTACCCCCCACTCCAGTCTGGGCTCCTATACCTAACTTGAATTTAGAACTCAAGAAGTTAAACTGTAGCCCAGAGTAAGTATTCATTTATTGTGTGATCTTTCTCAAGTAATATTCTTTAATGAAAATATTGTATAACTTTAATAAATAGAAGTAGTGTGATATGTGTTCCCCGATGGAAACTTTGGTTCATGAGGACTTTCCTATTTCAGTTTCTGTAGAAACCAATGGAACATGCAGATTAGGTTCTAGTCCCCTGTCACCTAATACTAGGGTGATGATGTCTATTTGATTGAAGTAGGGTTTTAGGTACCCAGACATGACTGTCATTTTTCATTTTGTTAAATCTCTTTCCTCACCTTATACCAGAATTAATTTCTGTTTATCTCCTAAGTAAGGAATGCTCACATATCTTCTTCAGACCTTGCTTATGTGAACTCAAGAACAGGTTTAGATAAAGCCTGTGTCTCTTTGAATTTTATCTTCACACCCTGTAAAGAAATGAGATGACCATTAACCCCAACTTATTGATTCAATCTGAGTTTAGGTTTGGATTTCATTCACTAAGAAGAATTTTCTCACCCCCTGGAAAAGAGTAGCTGGCTACTAAATCTAGTGCCACCAAATTCTTGTATATTTTCTGTGTGTCCAGCTTTGTGTTCACCTCCCAGGGCCTCCCAAACTAGATGTTCTTGGGTCTTGCCTACTTTCAGTACTTTTTCATCTAAGAATAGCTTATTCCTCTGTACCCACATGCATTGTAGAAGCCATTATACTGCTCCTAGACTTTATCCTCACAAAGTAAACTCATTCCCAGAACATCATCTTGTTCCTTGCCTTATGAAATTGATACTTTTTTAATGTCAGTGTTTTATGTCTCCTAAGGCAATAGTTTGCAGCTCTTGGGGAAAAAAGAAACTGAAAACTTGTCTTACATCCAAAACTTTAAATATGATTCAAATATGCAAAATAGGAAGTTGATGACCAGGCATTGGTCTCTGTAATCCTAACCACTCAGGAGGCTGAGATCTGGAAGATCAAGTTTCAAAGGCATCTTAGGCAAACACAAGTTTCCATCTCCTGTTAGTTAACCAGTAAAATGCCAGATTGAAGGTGTAGTTCTGGTGGTAGAACTTTAACCGAGCAAGTTTGAGGCCCTGAGTTCAAACCCTAGGGTTTGAACCATTAAAAACAAAAATGAAGAACAGGAAGTGAAACCTCTGACTGTTTCCCTTCTTTCATCATACTACAGCAGACACCCCATTGGTGATTAAGGCAGTGAATACTCAGATCACTTCTATAAAACTCAGTAAATCGTGGATGGTAGATTGACAACAACTGCCTTATGATTGTAGTCTGTGCTCAAGTTGCTTATAGCCTGGTATTATGAATGGTTAGGTATCCCCTATACTGTATGTATAGGTAAAAGTGATCTTAGCCTAGCAAAATGGTAATTTTGCCTGCAATCTCAGCATCAGAAGGATTAAGCATCAGGAGGATGAGACACATAAGGGTTTCACATAATGAAACCCTTTAAAAAGTGACATAAAAATAAAAAATAGATAAAAAAGGAAATAAAAAATAAGAGACCAAATAGGTAGGGGGATACTTATGTGTTTGTGTATGTTTTATCAAAAGTAAAATAATTAGGAGTAAATGTTAAAACGTTTGGACAAATCTACTAATTTGAGGCTGCAATTTATGTAACCCCCATAAAATGTCAGTATTGTCAAGTATATATCATATTTTGGATTTTGGTGCCTTTCATGTTTAATATTTTCAGTTTAGGGTTGGCAAAACCTGTAGTAATAGTGCCTACACAGTAAGATAAAGCATTAATTCAATAAATATTTACTGATTGCCTTCTAAGTTAAACATAAGCATCTGTTTCTATGTTTGGAGTAGAGATAAACAAAAGATCTCTATGGAATCATACAATTCATTCTATTAGAGAAAGCATAATATGTACCATTAAAGTAGTAAGTGTATTATACAATATCAGAATATTACAGAAGTGGAAGTGAGGATGGTAGGTGACTATTTTTAGTTGAGGGGGTCTGTGCAGGTTTTCCCAAGGAGTTAGTGTATGAGCAGAAGTCTGAATGCAGTGAAGAGCAGCCACAGGGCACTAGGAAAAAAGTCTTTTAAGCTGCCTAGACAGCAGAGGAAGTCCTGAAGCAGGAACGCCTGGGTGTGTTCCAGGAACGGCCGCCTAGAGTAAATACATAGCCCTACACACTGCTACCCACACTGCTTAAAATAACCCTTTCTGGTTACCAAGCACTCGTGCTATTTCTTTGGCTGCTCCTTTATTGGTCCTTTTTTTGTTAACTTTCACTTTCGTAGGTTATAGCCCTCAGTGTGTGCTACACCAGTAGGGCGACACAGGACAGAATGACTGATATCCGGCAAAGGCAGACAAGGTACTCAGCTAACTAAAGCAGATCAGACTGATGAGTAGCACAGAAGTGGAAGCATACCTCAGAGCTCAGAGAGAAGTCATTCTTTTTTTAATAATTTTTAGAGGGAAATAAAACCTCTTGACAACGTGTGTGTGCGTGTGTGTGTGTGTGTGTGTGTGTGTGTGTGTGTGTGTGTAAATGTGGGCAAGATAATGAGTACATTTCTTATCAAACATTGTTGCCTCCTCCTTTGTTTCCCCTTCCTATCTCTTCCCTTCTTCACCCCCCCCCCCATAGTTGTAAGGTTCGGAAGGGAAAAAACAAATAGTTTAAATCAGAAAGAAGTCATTCTTTATGGCATGGGTAGGGAGTCTTGAGTCCAGAGTGGAGCTGGGGAAAGGGAGGGGAAGGGAAGTCAGGAGCAACGGTGTTAGAGGCCTAGTGTGCCTTTGTTCTCTACTTTGTTTTCTACTTTGTGCCTAGTCCCACAGGCTAGTCATAGTGAGTCTGTTTTTCCTGAATGTGTTGTGCTTTCCTCCCAGGAATATGCAGTCCTTCACTTAGGTCTTTGGACAACTGTATATATGTACGCCTGGTAAAGTAACCAGGATCTTCCTCTGTATCATCATAATAACATGTGCAAGTGATTTTCACCTGTGCCTTTACATGTTATCCAATCTACTTGATATTTTTTCTGACAGCTAACGTATTCCATGTTTATATTTATTGCAGCTCATTTCGGTGTACTTTGACAAATATTCCACAGACACAGGCTTTATTGAATAAAGCTAAACTTCCTTTAGGATTGCTGTTACATCCCTTTAGAGATCTAACGGTAAAGTAATGTTTTTAAGTATCTTGGGTTCTGACATGGGTTTATGTAAAAGATACTCATATTTGATACTTTTTAGAATTGTCATCTTTATTTTTTGTGGTGCCGGAGATTAAAGGATGTTGATCTTATTTTATCTGAAGTTACAAATAATCATTTGTGAAATTCAAGTCAATAAGCATATTCTTAGTTTCTTCCAGTAGACCCTAAGCTAAGCATTAATAATAAAATAACCTTTCCCAAAGAAGTTCCTGCCTAGCAGGGAATCAAGATGTAAATTTATATTCTGGGTAATTAATATATGTAATTAGTCACATTCTAAGGATATTTAACAGTGAATATAGTATAAGAAGTAATTCTCTTTGAATGCAGTAACAAAGATTTTCTTTAAGTTTTTTGGAAATGTCAAGCTCCATAGCGACGCATGGTGCAAAAGCTTTAGTAGTCCTCTATTAAGATACATCGATGAAGTGGCGCTGCAGCTCAAGTGGCAGAGCGCTAGCCTTGAGCTGAAGAGCTGAGGGACAGAGCCCAGGCCCAGAGTTCAAGCCCCACGACCGACAAAAAAAAAAAAAAAAAAGATACATTGATGTCTGGGTTAGAAGGAAAATTGATTGTTCCAAATTGAGCAAATAAACTTCCTAACTTTAGGGAAAGCATGAACAGTTTAGGATTATTGAATAGAAACAAAATTTCTACAGTGTATTTGGTTTAATTACTAGTTATTAAACATTTTTATACATCCTCACTTTTTAAAACCTCACAAAAATGTTTTGTCAGAAATATTTTATTTACAAGTTGCTTCTATCCCTCACCTTAATTGCTAGTGTGATTTTCTATCCATCCAGTTGCCACAGCTTTCTTTTGTAATCTGTCATCAGAGATTATCACCCAGCTTCCGTGCTGGATGCTGGAATAAAGATGATTACACTTCCTGCTGGAGTTTATTCCATACTGAATGTGTAGAAAGGATCACAGTGAATAGAAGGTAGAATTGTAATGTGGAATAAGTACCCTAAGTTTATGCTTTCAGTCAGTACCATTTAGTCACGTCCATGCTATTACAACTTTACCCTTAAGCTAAGGCAATTTTCTGTGAGTGTTTCTGGTGAGTGTTCTCTAAATACAGTTTCTATACACAATACCTTCTGACAGTATATATTCCATATATATAACACTATAATGTTACCACTGATGTCTTTTGGGATTTGGAATTCCAAGAACATATTTCTTTTCTCATTTTTAGTTAATGACATTGCCTGATATAGTTACATAATGAAAGTAGTATATGTGGAAAAAAATATAATATTTGTGTTTAAAAATGAAATAAAAACCTATGTTATTAATAAAAGCCAGGATAAAGTATACTAAAATGAGAACAGGTTAACTCTGGTGTGTGGAATAAATAATATATGACCTCTTAATCTTTTTTTCCATACTTTCACATTTTCTACCTTGAATATAAAGTTCCATTCCCAACTCAGCCTGGAGATGAATTTTTTAAGGCACATTGTGTTTGGCTGCTTCTGGCCTCAGCTCCCTCCGGGTGGGAGCAGCGTCTGATAGTGTGGTACCAGGTACCTAGGACATTTTGCAGTGCACAAGACAAAGACATTGTTGCAAAGTGCTGGTTTCTCTCACTGGTTTTTCTTGAGTCTCTGATGAGCTGTAGCTTACATCATTTTCATAGCCAACTAGGCTTTCTTGTCAGCTAGTGACATTGATTTCATCTGGTGTGACTTTGTTGTTGTGTTGTTATGGTTACAACGAGGAAGAAAACCACAGCTGCTTGTGTGGTTTCACACTGCACTGCATTTAATTAGTACAGTTCAACACGAAACCACACAAAAATCCATCTGTGATTTCTGCTCTATATATGGAGTAGAACAGTTAGTGTTCTGCTTTTCCCTGGGGTTCTTCTTGTTGTTACACCATCTTTATTTTCTTTCCCAGCAATTACCAGTGATAACATCAAATACCATTGTGAGGTGCCGATCTTGTCGAACATACATCAACCCGTTTGTGTCCTTCATTGATCAGCGTAGATGGAAGTGCAACTTATGCTATAGAGTAAATGATGGTGAGCTTCTGACTCTTATTGTAGTGTGCTTTAGTATTATTTATTACATCTTCGTCATGATTCCTCTCCCTATTGCATTAAAAACAATTTTCATGCCATTTTTACTGGAGAGATTATAGGCCAGGGTATTTTAATATTGGTTGGCCATGGAGGTAAAGAGAATTGACAGGGCAGAGTAAAAACAAAAAACAAAAACTCCAAAGACTGTGCTAATACTGACACTTGAACTCAGGTCTTTGTGCTCTCCCTTGGCTCTAGAGTCTCAGGGACTTTCCTGCCTGGTCCGGCTTTGAAACAAGATCCTGAGATTACAGTCTCCCGAATAGCTAGGATTACAGGTGTGAGGCATCAGTGCCCAGCCTCTTTACATATTTCTTGCATATCTCCCTATTATAATTGCTTTCATATTTCTGTGTCTCTGATTTTTCCTTCTGTATAATGTGATGTAATAAATAGGACAGAAGACTTAAGAAGCAAGGTTACCTATGATCTGGTCTCCTTGCCTAATTTAGAAAATAAGTTTCTTTCTCCTTTTTTTCAAGCAAGATTAAGGGATTTGTTTTTTGTCATTAAATGTTCACAAAACTGTTGGTATTCCTCATAAATATTGCTGCTAAGTGTTGAACTTTAGACTTGTTCCTCCCTCTTATCCAGTTCCTGAAGAATTCATGTATAACCCCCTTACTCGATCATATGGAGAGCCTCATAAGCGGCCAGAAGTTCAGAATTCCACCGTGGAGTTCATCGCCTCTTCAGATTACATGGTAACCACTCACTGTTAAAAGTTTAGTCATGGCTAATTATACAGTTATAATTTTCTGTGAATTCTTGCCTATATTTCAGTTGCCCATGCTATTAATTTTTAAACAATTAATAGTGAAAGTTTGCACTTAGCAAATAGAAAACACTTTCTAAATGTTACTTGATCTCCCAGAATGTATTAGGTCACTAAAAAATGTTTGCAGTGTCTTATGGTAAGCGCTAGCTTTTATAGTTTGTGGCCATATGGACTTGATTACTTGCCTAGAGTAGATATGCATAGTCTTTCACCATTTAAACTTAAGTAACTTGGAACAGAAAATGTTTGCTTTTGCCAAAAACTGCAGTTTTTAGGGGTCTTAAAGATATCACTGGTTCTCCCAGTACTTTCACTCAATATTTTCCTTCCTTGTACTATCAGCAAATTCTCTGTGCTCTTTGAATTATATAGACGCTGAATCTCATTTTACAGCTGGGCATGGTGGTTCACTCCTGTAATCCCAGTTTGGGTTCACAGACAGGAAGGTCCTAAGTACATGGGCACATAAACAGCTACAAAAACAAGCAAGCACAGCTGGGTACTGATGGCTGACACTGGTAATCCCTTCTACTCAGAGATTTGGAGGATTGAAGTTCAAAGCCAGCCTCCAACAGAAAAGTCTAATAAGAGATTCCATCTCCGATAATAACCATCAAAAAGCCAGCCTGGAGATATGGCTCAAGTAATAGAGCATGAGCCAGACAAGCAAGCCCAGCAAGTTTAAGGCTCAGAGTTCAAACCTCTGGCGGGAAAAAAACGTACACAAAAAAAATCAGCCTATGTCCTGCTTATGTACTTTGTCATATTTTATTATTGTTTTGGCAGTACTGGGGTTTGAACTCAGGGGTTCGCACTTGTTAGATAGGTACTCTAGCCTTTTTAACTGGGTAGAGTCTCACAGTTTTAACCATGGCCAGCTTCAAACTGTAATTCTCCTACTTAACATTTCTATGCAGCTGGGGTTTCAAATGCAGACCACCATGCCTGGCTTATTGATTAAGTAAAGATTGAGGTCTCACTAACTTTTTGCCCAGGCTGACCTCAAACTGTTATTTTCTCAGTCTCTGCCTTACAAGTAGCTGAGTTTAGAGGCATGAACCACCACTCCTAGCCTTCTCTGTAATTTCTTTTCTTTTCCTTTCTTTTTTGCCAGCCTTGGGGCTTGAACTCAGGGTTTGGGCTCTGTCCCTGAGCTTGTTTTGCTCAAGGCTAGCACTCTACCACTTGAGTCACAGCTAGACTTCCAGCTTTTTCTATTTATGTGGTACTTAGTAATGGAATCTAGGCAAGCACTCTACCACTAAGCCACATTCCTAGCCACTGTAATACTTTCTGGGGAGGTCCTTTTTGGTGATGCTGAGGTTTGAACTCAGGATCAAACCTCATTTGCCAGGCAGGTGCTCTACCACTTGAGCCACACCACAGCCTGTTTTAATAGATGTATAGTAGCTATGTTTTTTCCTATATCTTTATTTCTAATCCTTGATGGCTGTAGCAGTTTAGTGCTGCTAGCAGAGAAAGCTGCATAAGAAAAACAGATGTGCTTTCCCATCTTCTGTAATGTTTATTATCTCTTATGTAATCTTGTGTAATCTATCCTATTATGAGGTAATGGCACTTTCTGTGTCTATTTCCAATGGACTATAGTAAACTTTCTCTTTATCACTTCTCTCAGCTTCTGACCATTATAATTTACTATGTTCTCAACTTTGGGATCTAATTAAAATAGCAAAGCAAAAAAGATCTTAATTTTTTTTTCTTATGATTTATATAACCTTTCATGGGCATTGAAAAAAAAAACACTTCATGGATTTGAGGGGTAACTCTGTGGTAGATCACTGGTCTGGCATGTATGAGGGTCAAATCTCCAGGACTGCAAAAAAGAGGTCTTGGTATGTACTCATATGTACACTCTATCACTATAAGGAAGAATTTAGTCTGTTAGCCCAGCTACTTCTCTTTCTCCTTGTCTTCCCTGGAATTTACAAATGCTCATCTGAGCCATCATATCATCATACCCACAGTATGTCAGTATATTTTTCTGACCAATATGGACTTTTAAAAAATATGCTTGTAATACCATCACAAGGACTTCCTTTATACTTAGCACTTTACCTTAGGATTCAGCCATTATCAGGTGACCAAAGAGATAATGTCAAGTTTTATTTTATTTTATTGTTTTGAAGAAAAAAATAGAAACTTTCATGGGCTGGGGATAGAGCTAAGTGGCAGATAGCATGCGCATGGATGGCTCATCCTCGCCACTGCCAAAAACAAGCATTTTATATGTAGTTTGTATTAATTATTCAGTAGTTTGTCTTAATAATAAATGAGGCCACCTTTAAATGATCTCTTTGCCAACATTCCTTATCAGGAACACATTTAATGCACCTGTTCAACTGTGACAACTGTCTCTTGTGCTCAAACCCCAACAAGTTTTGTAAGAGAGGAATTTCATTTAAGGAAAATAGCAATCCTGTTTGTTGTGCATTTCTGGTACAGAATACTCAGTAAATATTCAGTAGTAACAGAGATGTAAAAAGAACAAATTGAGCTTTCTACATAAATTGCATTGTTGGTTTTTTTTTTCTTTCAGCTTCGTCCTCCTCAGCCCGCAGTTTACCTGTTTGTCTTAGATGTGTCTCATAACGCAGAGGAAACTGGCTACTTAACAATTTTGTGCCAATCCCTGTTAGAAAACTTAGACAAGTAAGATTATATTTTTGTTGACAGTTACATATATGTATATAAATATAGAAAAAGACATGAAGTGTTTATTTGTAATTTATGGGTTTGGGTTTTGTTAGGTTTAGTATCTATAAACTTTCTGCCATAGAATAAGGAGCCTGCTACTTGAGTTGTTACAATTTAATAACATAAAAAAATTTTAACTCAGGGTATGGGTGCAATCCCTGACCTCTTTGGCTCAAGGCCAGTGCTCTACCACTTTAAGCTATAGCACCACTTCCAGTTTTCTGGTGGTTAAGTATTGGAGGTAAGAGTCTCATGGACTTTGCTGTCTGGGCTGGCTTTGAACCTCAATCCTCAGATCTCAGCCTCCTGTGTGTATATATAGGATTACAGGCATGAGCTACCAGCGCCTAGGTTAACTTAAAAAATTTTAAATTTAGTAAAAATTTTAGGTAATTCCAAACTTGCCCTCTGACTAAAATCATGTGAACATTGGGGCTCAGAAAGCAATAACATAGCCTGGGTATAAACAGTCTGAATGACTAGATATCATGGCTAGATCTGAAGGATATTATGTTGAGTAACCTAAGCCAGTCACTGAAAGCTGAGTACCCCATGGTTGAGGACAGGGTTGGATCATAGAGATATTGGTCTAAGGAGACAGAATTTTAATTACACAAGAGGATCCACTCAAGGTGATATCTATAGTTAGTTTATTGTACTCGAAAAATACTAAGGAGATTTGAAATGTCCTCAAAAAAAATGTATGTTAACCATGGCTTATGCTCTACCACTGGAGCCACACCTCCAGCCTTGCTTTTTGTTGATTAATTGGAGTTTATGGGACTTTTTTGCTAGATTAACTTTGTACCTCGATATTCCAGGTCTCAGCTTCCTCAAAGGCTAAGATTACACACTAGTACCCAACTCTACTTTTTTTTATTTGCATATATTAAATTTTTTTTTGGGGGGGGGTCCATTCATGGGGCCTGAACTCTGGGCCTGGGCGCTATCCCTCAGCTCTTTAGCTCAAGGCTAGCGCACTACCTCTTGAGCCACAGCGCCACTTTCAGCTTTTTTCATTTTGCTTATGTGGTGCTGAGGAATCGAACCCAGGGCCTCAGGCATGCAAAGCAAGCACTCTACCACTGAGCCACCTTCCCGACCCACATATATTAAATTGTACATAGTAAGGAGTTTCATTATAATATTTCTATACCTGCGTATAATGTATTTTTATTTATTCCCCTTTTCCCTGTGCCATAATCTTACTTAAATAGTGATACAGTTTTTGGAAGTATAGATTCTAAACATGGAAACACTTTCATCTGAGAATTAAATAGTTCATCCTTCTTTTTATGTTTATATTAATTTAGATAAGAGATACATCTTTTATCTCCTCTGAAATTTGACATGACTTACTATCTTATTATTTTCTGAAATAAAATGTTACTTTGAATTTTAAATTGCCATTTTTATCTCCAGGCTTCCAGGAGATTCTCGAACAAGAATAGGCTTCATGACCTTTGACAGCACTATTCATTTCTACAACTTACAGGAGGGACTGTCTCAGCCACAGATGTTGATTGTGTCTGACATAGACGGTGAGCAGGCAGCAAAGTAACTACAGATTCTGGGTCATGGGCTGCTTCATTTTACAACACATTTGTCATATGCTGTACCTGTATATGTAGCCTACACGTGTATAGATAATGTGTACCTAGTGTATATTATCACAGTGATAGAATGCATATTATGTGTGACATCTTGATTTTTAAAAAAAATAAGTTTTTCTAATTTCTTGTATTCTTTTGACTTGATTGGTTGATTATTTTCCCTATAGATGTTTTTCTACCTACACCGGATAGTCTACTTGTGAATCTATATGAAAGCAAAGAGGTGAGATTGATTTATTTCCTCAGAATATTAGAATATGTCTGTCAGTTCATCTGGTGGCTAGATATTAACGTGTTTACCTGATGCGGTAATATCAGACAGTAGACAATGTGGATAGAATGTCTGTGGACTCTTTAGTTTACAGTCCCTAGAGATGCAGTGACACTATATTCTGGAATGTTTTAAAGAATATTGTCTTATCTTTTCAGTAATTCAAATTTTAATCTTTGTTTTCCCAGCTTATAAAAGACTTACTGAACGCATTACCAAACATGTTCACCAATACACGAGAAACACACAGTGCCCTTGGTCCTGCCCTTCAGGCTGCTTTTAAATTAATGTCTCCAACAGGGGGCCGTGTGTCTGTATTTCAGACACAGTTACCTTCCTTGGGTGCAGGACTTCTGCAGTCCAGAGAAGATCCTAATCAAAGGTCAAGTACAAAGGTATTCTATGTTTAGTTTCTCTGTCATATCTACAGACTGTGTGAGGACTTGTTCATTGTCCTTTTTAACTTTGTTAATAATAATAGTAAATAGGGAGAGATTAATTCAGATTTTTTTAAATTTTGTTGTTGTTTGCAAAAGTTGTAAAAATTTAGAAGTCACTTAGTCTTTCATTTAAAAATGAGGAAGCGGCCAATGGCTCACGCCTGTAATCCTAGCTACTCAGGAGACTGAGACCTAAAGATTATGGTCCAAACCTAGCTAGGGCAGGAAAGTCCATGATGCTTACCTCTAGTTAACCAACAAAAAGCTGGAAGTAGAACTGTGGCTTGAGCACAAAATCTCAGGGACAGAACCTAGGTCCTTATTTCAAGCCCTGTTGTGTAGCAGTATGGAGTAACATTTCCCAGCTCTCAGTCTGGAGTTAGAGTCCTTGGATTTCTTCCAGCATTCACCACTCCATAGCTATGTAATCTTAGACAAGTTACTTAATGAGTTTTGCCTTAGTTTTCTCATCTGTGATAGATAATGGTTGGGATGGCCTTCAGTAATAGAGTACCTGCCTAGCAGGTGCACAGTCTTCAGTGCAATCCCTAGCATTAGTTAATAATTAAAATCTTATAGGAAGGCCAGTTACAGTAGTTCAGTCCTGTATTCTCAGCAACTTGGGAGGCAAAGATCAGAAGGATCATGGTTAGGTTCAAAGCCGTCACAAGAAAAAATTAGCAAGACCCCCTCATTTCAACAAAAAAGCTGAGTATAATGATTGATCCTAGCTTTGAGGGAGCCATAGGAAGATTGCAGCCCTAGGTGAAAATGTAAGACCTTATCTGAGAAGAAAACCTAAAGCAAAAAGGGCTGGAAACATAGCACTGAGTTTAAGCCTCACCATCATAAAAAAATACATGTATGTATGTTTGTGTGTTAGTGTGTGTATATCCTATGGGATATATATGAGAAATTATGTCTAACATCTGAATCAGTGCTGGCAGAAAGTGTTTTTTATAAATATTAGCAATTATTGTCGTAGGGAGTCTGTTCACAAACCCATAGTGTGGTAGTGGAGCAGAGGACATCCTCCTTTTTGATGCAGGAGAGACATAGAAGTGTGTGCGATTAGAAGTTTCTAGCTCTTACTCTGATCTATTGACTTAGGTAGTACAACACCTTGGCCCTGCGACTGATTTTTATAAGAAACTTGCTTTAGACTGCTCAGGACAGCAGACTGCGGTGGATTTGTTCCTTTTGAGTTCACAGTATTCTGATCTTGCTTCTCTAGGTAAGATGTCATTGCATTTATCTGCTCATGTATACATTTTTAGCATATGATTAAATCTGAACTTGTCCTTTACTCTTCTCAATTTAGGGAGAGAAAGGCGTGTGAATTAGATGCTTAATGTCTGTGAGGGTTATCTGTAAACTTTAAAGCCCTAGACAAATACAAAATGACAGTATTTTGTTTAAAAGCTCTAAAGTAAATCTTTTTTCTCTATTTTATAAAAATTTTTGTTGTACGAGACTTACATGTTATTTGTCTTAGATCTTTTCATTATAATTCAGATTTCACTAGAATCTGTACTACTGCTAGACAAGTAGAATATTCTTGCTTCTGTAGCTAATAGTTACGTTTCTCTCTGAAGCTTGCATGTCCAAGTACTCGGCAGGATGCATCTATTACTATCCATCTTTCCACTATAATCACAACCCTTCACAAGCAGAAAAGTTACAAAAAGACCTAAAACGGTATCTCACAAGAAAAATTGGATTTGAAGCTGTCATGAGGATAAGATGCACTAAAGGTATGAACTTATAAATGTGATGTTGTTACTTCTGGTCTACCTATGCTACCAACTGTTCCTTGTAGAAGATATTGTTTGATAGGTTAGCAATGGCCAAAATATCCCCTTTGATTTAAAATCAGGGGTGCTGACTTTATTTATTTTGAAAGTAACTAGCCTGTGGTAAAGAAACTACTGTTACTCATCTTCTGTACCACATTCTCTGTCTCTTAGGTCTTTCAATGCATACTTTTCATGGAAACTTCTTTGTGCGTTCCACTGACTTGTTATCTCTTGCCAACATCAATCCTGATGCTGGGTTTGCAGTGCAGTTATCAATTGAGGAAAGTTTGACGGATACTTCCTTAGTGTGCTTTCAGACGGCACTGTTATACACGTCGAGTAAAGGTAAGGCTATCAGAAGTAAAGTGAGGCCTGCAAGAAGCATCTTCCACTTAGTGGAATGAGGAGAAGGAATGAGTGTACTGAGAACTAATGCAGCTTCAGCACTTAACCAAAAGTATGTTCTGATAAGTTGTTCTTAACACTAATGTTTAAATCACTAAATAATACACTGTATATGTTTGTATGTGTATATGTACAAGTACTTGCATGCTTGGAAAACTTGCATTCCTCAGAAAATACATTTCTGCTAAGCTAAATCCATTCTTTGCATTATTTTTTGCATTGTAAGTTAAGGCATTTGTTTGTGTTATTTTGAAAGCCTAAGTTTTCTGATACTTTACTCTATTGGGTAATCAAAAACGAGCAACATCAAAATAAAAACTAGAATGTAAATTTCAAGTACACATGTTTTATGTATTCATAGTCTACAAAGTCAGAGTGTTTAATTATCTTGGACACATATTAGTTAGGCTGGGGATGTAGCTCAGTGTGAGAATGCTCACCCAGCATACACGAGGTCCTTGGTTCAGTCTCCAGTACCAAGAACAAAGAAACAAGAACATGCTAACCATGTTCATTTTAAAACTTTGAGTTACGTTTCAAAATCCTGTTGATGATTTAATCTGGCAAAAACAGTAATTTAAATAAGACTTGGCCTGCAGTGTTCTGCATCACTTTATGCACATCTGTTTAGGTGAGCGAAGGATCAGAGTCCACACACTTTGTTTGCCGGTGGTGAGTTCCTTAGCAGATGTGTATGCCGGAGTGGATGTTCAAGCCGCCATCTGCCTTCTGGCAAACATGGGTGAGTGAAAGGGAACAAGTGGCCAATCAAGCACAGCTCGCCAGCCTAGACAGGGAAGTGAAGATGGGATGTGTTTCTGCCCTAGAAACCCCTCTCTTAGAGAGTATGTTTTATATCATTGCAGCACAAAGTAGATTGTTCTTATATTCATTACTAATTCTTAGTTTAGCAATCTGTTGGGATTAATGTTTGCTGAAAACTTAAAAAAAATCGAAATGTCTTTAAATGAATGTATGAGCAAACTCAAGTGTTGTACAGTGGACTAAGCTCAGCACTGAGCTCTTGGTGCTAAAATCAGCATGGGCACCTCTTGTGAGGAGTGCTGAGGGAAAGAAGTAACATTCAAAAGGCTGTGTCCCGCATTGCCATTTAATTTCAGGAATCAATATACTATTTTGTTTTTTGTTTTTGTTTTTATTTTTGGTGGTTGTGGGGCATGAACTCTGGGCCTGGGCACTGTTCCTGAGGTCTTTAGCAAGTGCTCTACCACTTGAGCCATAGCGCCACTTCCTGTTTTCTGGTGGTTAATTAGAGATAAGAGTCTCACGGATTTTCCTGCCCAGGCAGGCCTTGAACCATGATCTTCAGATCTCAGCCCCCTGAATAGCTAGGATTACAGGCATGAGCCACTGGCGCCCAGCTTTTAACAAATCTTTATTGATAATTTTAGACCTTTAGTGATCCTTGCTCTTTCCAGTACAGATCTGGAGTCGTTTGGGCAAAATTATACTAGCATTATTCAAGGACCTTTTCTTGTAGGTGGACAGTGCTGAGAACAAAAACTGGGGCTGTGTGCACACTTGGGTAACTGCTTCCCCACTGAGCTGTGCTCACCCATCTCAGGATTTCAGTTTTTCAAGCGCCATTTTTCTGTCGAGATTTTGAATTATGTATACAATAAGGTTCCCCACCACCACCACCACAAATACCTTTATTTTTAGTACATAGGCATATTTATAGATTCATTTTTCTTGTTAGTACTGGGATTGAACTTGGTCTTGCTTCTCAGGGTAGATACTCTACTACTTGAGCCATGGCTTTAGCCCTTTCTGACCTGGTTATTTTGTAGGTAGAGTCTTGCTTTTGTTGTTGTTGGTGGTGGTGATGGTGGTATTGTTGGTGGTGGTGGTGGTAATGGTGGCAGGGCTTGAACTTAGGGCCTGGGAGCTGTCCCTGAGCTCTTTTTGCTCAAGGCTAGTGATCTACCACTTTGAGCCACAGCACCACTTCCTATTTTCTTGAGGTTAATTGGAGATAGGAGTCTCATGGGCTTTTCTGCCCAGGCTGGCTTTGAACCATGATCCTCAGATCTCAACTTCCCTGAGTAGCTAGGATTAAAGGTATGAGCCACCAGCACCCAGCTAGAGTCTTGCTTTATGCCTGTATTGAAGATTTCACTTCTTTGTGTCTCTGTAGATGACAGCTGGATGCCATTGAGTTCCCTGGTAGCTGGGGCAGCTGCCACTGAGCATACCCATGGTTGAGGTGGAGTCTCACAAGCTCCTTTTTTGCTAGGACTGCTCTCTCAAACCATGATCCTCCATTCTCCGCCCCCATATCACAATGACTAAAGTTTGAATCAATACTCCCAGCCCTAAAAATTATATTGTAGCCAGGCACTGGTAGCTCACGCCTGTAATTCTAGCTACTATGGATGCTGAAGTCTGAGGATCATGGTTCAAAGCCAGCCTAGGCAGGAAAGTCCATGAGACTCTTACCTCCAATAAACCACTAGAATACTGGCAATGGTGCTGTGGCTCAAGCAGTAGAGTGCTCGCCTTGAGCTGAAGAGTGCAGGGACAGTGCCAAGGCCTAGAGTTCAAGCCCCACAACTGACCAAAAAAAAAAAATTATATTGTAAATTAAATACGCTCATTTTATATGAAAACTCACATTTAGCTACACACTGATAGCTCATGTCAGTAATCCTATCTATACAGAATGCTGAGCAATTTGGATTGTGGTTTGAAGGCAGGCAGGGTGGGAAAGTTCGTAAGATTCTTTATTACCAATTAACTAGCAAAAAATCACAGTTGTGAGGGAAAGTGGGTAAATGAGGGAGGGGTAACAAGTTCAATAAGAAATGTACTCACTACCTTACTTATGTAATTCTTAACCCCTATTTACATCACCATGACAATACAATTAAATTTAAAAATTTTTAAAAAATCCTATAAAGTGTGGCTCAAATAGTTACATAGCACCAGCCTTGAGTGAAAAAGCTAAGGGACCAGTGCTCAGGCCATGAGTTCAAACTCTTTTTTGCTTTTTGTTTTTGTTTTTGTTTTTTTGGGGGGTCCAGTCGTGGGGCCTGAACTCTGGGCCTGGGCCCTGTCCCTCAGCTCTTCAGCTCAAGGCTAGCGCTCTACCACTTGAGCCACAGCGCCACTTCCGGCTTTTTTTCTTTTTGCTTATGTGGTGCTGAGGAATCAAACCCAGGGCCTCAGGCATGCAAGGCAAGCGCTCTACCACTGAGCCACCTTCCCAGCCCTGAGTTCAAACTCTTAATACTGCACCAGCCCCCCACCCTCTTACCTCCCCAAAAAAAGTTCAGCTTGCCCTCTTTTTTTTTTTCTTTTTTTTTAATCTATTGACCTGGAATGCTTTTGTAAAGAAGATTTTAGAGGATCATAGGAGATTACTTAGATTGTGTAATTTACATCAGTTGTACAGAAAAAAAATGGTTCTTTACACATGTGACTTTGCTTTGAGTAATGGAATCATCTCCTGTGCTGTATCAGAAATAGATGGAAGGTATACATTCTTTTTATCAAGAATAGCCAAGTGTTTAAACTTAAGAGATTAAAACGAAAGTCCAGAAGAATGCAGGAACCTAGACTTGTTCTGATTTATCATATTCAGTTCAGAAAAAATAGGTAATGAACTAATTATTTACTGAGGGAACAGATGAAGTGCATTCTATTGGTCTCTTAGATGATTCATGTCTGTGTTCTCTCTGGGGGCTCACAAGGATCTCATGGTTAAGTGCCTTTTCATTTGGGTTGCTTTGTAGCTGTCGATCGCTCAGTCTCATCTAGCCTGTCAGATGCCAGGGACGCCTTGGTGAACGCAGTGGTGGACTCGCTCTCTGCCTACGGCTCTACTGTCTCCAACTTGCAGCACTCGGCGCTCATTGCCCCTGGCTCCCTCAAGTTGTTCCCGCTCTATGTTTTGGCCCTTCTCAAACAGGTAGCTCTCGACATGTGGTTATATTTAACAAAGTTTAAAAAAAAATCTCAGATTACTTGCATATAGAGATATGAAGCTGAGAGGTTGCTATTTTAATACTTAGCCAGGGGAATAATGCACTTCAGTGTTGGGAAACATAAGTGGGAAATGAAGGTATAAAAATACATTGTGACTTTTGTGAAACCATCTCTAGGCCCTCTCTATCTCCATTATCCGTGTGAGTATTATGTGGTCCTGGCCCACTCTTAATACATGCTTCTGAAAACAGAAGAAGGAGGGGCTTTGGTTTTTTACTACCTTCCCATTATTTTGAACACCACAGTAGGTGTCCAACACATTCATCATCTTATCCTTACCATAGAAAGGTAAGTATTCTTTTCTCTGTTTTTCTTATGATGATAATATAGCTCAGAAACTTGCTCACTTTCTTATTAAATGTCAGCTTAAATGGAATCCAGGCCTGTCATTTTGAAGACATGCTCTATGATTGGTAATTGTCTACTATGTGTGTTTGACTTGGAAACTTGTATGTTTTTCCTTGTAGAAAGCATTTAGAACAGGTACAAGCACTCGCCTGGATGATCGTGTGTATGCCATGTGTCAGATCAAGTCTCAGCCACTTGTTCATCTAATGAAAATGATTCATCCCAACTTATACAGGATAGACAGATTGACAGATGAGGTATGCCTTTGAGCGTTACAGTTGTACAGTTACCACATTGTCAACATTTTCCTCTGTTCTTTTCCCTTGTGTGGTAATAGTACATTAAAAAAGGACATTTGGATCTAATTAGATGCTTAGATTCTCAGAAACTATATCAATCAGCAGTTACGGAATTTCATACATGAAGTAATTTAACTCATGTACAAAGCTAAAGTGTAGAGTAATTTCCATTTGTACTTGATAGGTATTGGCAGTTTCTGATATGATCAGATTGCAGGAAACCCAATCTGGTACCTGACAGCTATTTCAGCATGCAAATGTGTAGTATTTTTTTCTTTTTGTGTGAAAACAACATTCTTTGACATTAGTATTCTAAGCATAATAATATGTTAGTAGGGAAATAGAAAAATGTACGTTGCTATGTGACAGAGTCACTAGTCATATTTTTAGTATATTCTGACCCCAAAAGAGAAATGAATTAAACAGATGCATTTGTGTTTGAACTTTTTAAATTTGAATACATTTGATGGTTGCAATGCTTCAGCCAAGGTGCTAATATAGAATTAATAGTCTTTACGTTATACAAAACTCTCAATTGTCACATTTTAATACTTCTTAAGGTGGCCACTAATTCCCAGATGTAGTGACAGAATGTTAGCTCATTCATATTCTACCTTCTTTTTCAGGGTGCAATACATGTTAATGACAGGGTAGTGCCTCAGCCACCCCTTCAAAAATTATCTGCAGAGAAGCTGACAAGAGAAGGTGCTTTCCTGTTGGACTGCGGCTCTGTAAGCACCTCTGTAACAATGTTCTCCTGTTCCAGTGGGTCCGTGGGAAGCACTGGTGCCACTGCAGGGAGGGAAGAGGACCAGGGCCTGACAGTAAATGGGTACTCACATGAGCTACCTTAGGACGTTTCTATTTGGACAGTTTCTTATTTATCATAGGTTACTCCATTTTTATTATCGTTGATTGCATATGCTTGATAAAGAGACAAGACCCTGAGAATCATAAAATTCAAAATGACCTCAAGAGTAGTTCAAATTATACCAATTGTCAGAAATCTCAAGAGATTCAGAAGTAGCTATGTGATGGGGCCGGCAGGTAAAGAGTGTCAGAATGGCCAGACAGCTGCAAATTGTTCCTATGAGCAGGAAAAGGGTTTGGATAACCACAGAGGAGGGGGACAACCCCCAAAAGCTGAAAGTACAGAAAGTGATTGAAATACAGCATTACCTTCCTATGGGGAAATCAGTGAAGAAGAAGGTAAAATACATTTAATAGGCAGCCTTGAAATTTAAGTGAAGGTGTAAACCATCACCTGGATCCTTCTATGTAGCTCCACTGTGTGCCGACTTCGGGTTTCATTCCTTCTTTTGTGTTTCTTCCTACAGTAATTTAAATTGTGTTTCTTTTGACTGTATTTTAAATAATTCATTTGACCTTTTTTTCATGACTTCTCTTATTAGTTATACAGGGAGGTGGGTTTCATTGTGACTTTTCCACACATTGTACTGCAATCAGCTTTAACCTATTAATTTGCCTTCCTAAAACAATTCGAACAGTTTTTATTGTTCAATTTTCCTATATGTAGGTCATCTTCTCTGACCATATTCATCCTCTTGTTAGCTAAACTCCCTGTAGCTATACCTCCCACTGTCCCCAACAGAGCCTGTTTCTCCATTGTCACCTCTGTAGCTCCCTATTTATCAACAGCTTTCATTGAAGTTCTTTAACTTGTGCTTACATATAGTTATGTGTGATAATTGTAAGAGAATTAACTGTAATTAATGTTAACTATTGATGCATTTAAATATTTTGTTGATTTCTGTTTTAGGTGTTTTACATTTGGATTGGCAAAGGCTGTGACAATAACTTCATAGAGGAAGTGCTTGGATGTCCTAATTTTGCATCAATACCACAGAAAATGGTCAGTGGACTTTAGACTTTTTGTGTATGTGTGCTAGTACTGGGGCTTGAACTCAGTGCCTAAGCACTGTCCCTGAATTTTTTGCTCAAGGCTAGTGCTCTAACCAGCTGGTTAATTGGAAATGATTGTCGCAGACTTTTCCTGCGTGGGCTGGCTTTGAATCACAATCCTCAGATCTCAGCCTCCTGAGTAACTAAGATTACTTGTCTTTAATGTTTTCGTTGACATAAGGTTTATGTGGTGAGCTTAGCTGTTTTCATGTGTATGCTTTCAGTGGCTTTTAGTATATTCATAATGTTTTACAACCATTACCACCATCTAATTTCAGAACATTTCTTTTCATCACAGAGTACTCGTTTTTGCTTTCTCCCTGGCAGCTAGTGCTATGTTTTTTATTCATTAGCTTGCTGTTGTGGATATGTCACGTTGAATGACTCAACATGTGATCTCTATGTTTGGCCTCTTTCACTTCATGCCTGGCTTACACAAGCACTCCGTTCTTTATGACTGGAAATAGTCTGTGGCTGGAAGTTTGCTTGTTTCTTTGAGAGGGAGGCTTTTTTGAATGACGCTACACAAACACTTGTGTGCAAGCTGTGCCCCTGGCATTTTCAGCACTCGCACATCCACACCAAGGATGGAATTGCCAGACTCTTCCCAGCAATTTTAACTTCTAATTTAAATTATTATCTGCAGACTTCTATTAAAGTACTCTGTTGGTTAAAGTAATGTTATTTTTTTCAGTGTGCCCTTAACCAACACAAAGAAATAGGATTTTGAAAGCAGCTCTGTATGTTTAATTGAAATGAAAGATCTACTTTATTTTTTTTTTTTTTATTTTGTCGGTCGTGGGGCCTGAACTCTGGCCCTCAGCTCTTCAGCTCAAGGCGAGCGCTCTACCACATGAGCTACAGCGTCACTTCCGGTTTTCTGGTGGTGTATTGGAGATAGGAGTCTCACGGTCTCTCCTGCCCGGGCTGGCTTTGAACCTCGATCCTCAGATCTCAGCCTCCTGAGTAGCTAGGATTACAGGCATGAGCCACCAGCGCCCGGCTCTACTTTATTTTTGAGTATTGTAAATATGTTTTTTCTGCAATTCATAGGCATTCAGTTAGTCCTTATTACTATCTTTTGTTTGTTTGTTTGTTTTTTACTTTGAAAATTAATCCCATTTCTAAGATACAACAAATCAGAGTATTAAGGAAATATTTGAAAAGGAAGAACAGTCAACAAAGGGGAAAGGTATATGACAAATATGTCTTACTAAATAGATAGTAAACCTTTTCTGAAGCTGCAGTTATTTAAGCATGGTGATACTGGCACAATAAGCAACTCAGTGGAACCAGTTAAGAGTGCAGAAAGGGTTTTGATTCATGAAGAATACTTCAGATCACTGTGGTAAAATAGAATATTACAAAAACCAGCTTGAGACCATTGATTAGCCACTAGGAGAGAAGACATATTTACCTTAGTCCTTGCAGTATATGACTCTCAAATAGAGAGAACATTTCAACATTTTTTTTTAAAGAAGAAGAGACCAGATTTGGTGGCACACACTTGTAATCTAAGCTACTCAGGAGGCAGAGAACAGGTAGATTGTGGTTCATGGTTTAAGACTAACATGGGCACAAAGTTGCCCCATCTCAGAACAAGCCAGGCATGACAGTACACAGCTATAATCCCAGCTTCATAGGAGTTACAGCTAGAGGACCAAGTACAAAAAGCATGTCCCTATCCAAAATATAACTAGAAGCAAAGAAGGACTGAGAATGTGGCTCATATGGTAGAATCCCTGTCTAGCAAGCTGGAGGCCTGAGTTCACGTTCTGGCAAAGATAAAAAATAAACCCTAAGCTGGGCACTAGTGGCGCACACCTATAATCCTAGCTACTCGGGAGGCTGAGATCTGAGGATCACAGTTCAAAGCCAGCCCAGGCAAGAAAATCCTGAGACTCTTTATCTCCAATAAACCACTTGAAAACCGGAAGTGGCGCTGTGGTTCAAGCAGTAGAGCGCTCACCTTGAGCTGAAGAGCGCAGGGACAGTACCCAGGCCCAGAGTTCAAGCCCCATGACCCACCAAAAAATAAAAATAAAATAAATTTAAAAAATAATCCTAGGAGGATGTCAAATGAAACATTTATACATATATAGTATTAAAATACAAAGACCTTTGGAAGCCATTTACCAAAAAATTAACATAGCTCAGAGAATAAATATAAAACATTTCTATTTTTAATAAAGCCAAAAGGTAAGCAATAAAAATATGAGATTATCTATATTTTTATTTATTTTTGTACCAGTCCTGGGCTTGAACTCAGGGCCTGGCACTGTCCCTGAGCTTTATTTGCTCAAGGCTGGCACTTTGCCACTTGAGCCACAGCTCCACTTCCCACTTTTTGGTGGTTAATTAGGTAAGATTCTCAACAGACTTTACTACCTGGGCTGGCTTTGAACTACAGTCTTCAGATTTCAGCCTCTCAAGTAACTAGGATTACAGGCCTGAACCACTAGTAGTCAGATTTTTTGTTATCTATTTATTGAAAAAATGCTTAAACCTATTTGACCTATTTGACAATATCTGTTAAAATTAAAATCACATACTACATGATTCAGTAAATTGTTCTGGGAATGTGGCTTAGTGGTAGTGTGCTTCCCTAGCATACATGAAGCCCTGGGTTCAGTTCCTCACTACCACACAAACAGAAAAAGCCAGAAGTGGCACTTTGGTTCAAGTGGTAGAGCACTAGCCTTGATCAAAGAGAGGCTCAAGGACAGTGCCGACGCCCTGAGTTCAAGCTCCAGGACTGGCAAAAAATGATAGATAGATAGATACCATAAATATACTCATAAAAATATAGCTATGTACACAAATGTGTATAGCATTAAATAGGTAGGTTATATCTGGGCACTTACTGAAAAGGGATATTAACATGAAAAAATCTATAGTGTGATCCATTTTTATTTTCAAAAATATGTTCACTAGATCCCTTCCGAAACAGTAGCTGAGTGTGGTGGTGTGCCTCCATCCCAGCTACAGTAGGGAGCATAAATAAGAATTGAAGTCAAGGCTGGAAATGGAAAGGGCAAAAAGGTCCAAAACAGCCCGAGCAAAAGGGACTTGAGGCATGTTTCAAGTGGGAAAGCAATGTATACATTCAACCTGTTCTTACATTCCTTGCTTCAAAATTTTAAATGAAAGAAACATGAAATTCTCCCAGAGTAGTAGTTTTTCACATGAAGTACAATGTATGACTATTAATGGGGTTAGAAACTTTGTGTTAGCTACCTTCATGTGACTATCACCATCAGAAAAAGCATGAAGATGTGGCGTAGTGCTTGTGATATGTAGATATTGGGAAGGTTTTATTCACTTATCTAAAAATATATTCAGGTAAATTGTAATGACACATCTCTTAGTAAACATGGCTTAAAATGATTTGCTGCAAGCTAACCTTCATTGGTGTGGTGTGATTTGGTGTTATGCCTGCAGAATTGCCAGAATAATTTCCTTTCTTTTCTTTCCAGACACATCTTCCAGAGCTGGACACACTTTCGTCCGAAAGAACCAGGTCCTTTATAACTTGGCTCAAAGACAGCAGACCACTAAGCCCAGTCCTTCATATGGTAAAGTAAGTACGTCTACAACTTCTCTTGCACGAACTGAGCAGGATTTGTTCGTCTTTATTTTTTTATTATCTTTATGTAGTTGTACAAAGGAGTTGCATTCGACAAAGCGGCGTATGAATACATCTTGATCACGGTCACCCCTGTCAACATCCTCCCTCCTCCCTCTTGGCCCACCCCTTCCCTCGCTTTTCTTAATGTAGGCTATACAGTGAATTCTTGACCGCAGTCTTTCCTCTTCCTTCATTACTCTGCCCCTCTCCCCTTGACACCACCCCACTGTTCTTAAGTACCTGTTTCCTGGTGTTTATTTTTGTTCAACTTTGTCTTTGCCTTTCTAAGAAATTACACTATTTGCTTTCTCCCTTGAATCTTACCATACTTCAGTTAATCCATTTGTGTATACTTGAATACCACCCAATATATTTACTTACATGTTTATAAACTAATTCCAGCCTCTACATGTGAGAGAAAACATGGAACCTTTGGGTCTTTGGGCCTGACTTACTTCACTTAACATAATGTTTTCCAGGTCCTTCCATTTCTTTGCAGCATCTTTAAGCAAAAAGGGCAATCCGAAGGCACAATCATCTAGCACCCAATTCCTCTATTTAGCTTTTCTTCCTAAAAAAAAGGCACTCAACTTTCAGAAGGCCCTTCCCTGCCATGGTCAAAGCAGCATTAACCCAGCCTTCTTACCCAGCCTCATTTCTCTTCTCGGAGTCATCACATTTGGCCTCTGCCTCCCATTCTCCATGTGGACCTAAGCTTTGTTGACGTGGTGATGTAATTTTCTTTCTAATGGAAGAGTAAAATTCCATTGTGTACATGTGCCACATTTTCTTGATCCATTCATCCACTGTGGGACATCTGGGCCAATTCCGCAGTGGACATGATAGTCTGAGCAAGATTTCTTGTCCTCAAAGTAGACATTAAATGACACCAGAATACATCCTCAGGATAGAATATCATTCCCTGGCCAATGAGTCCTGTCATGAATCTCTCTTCCCTTTGCTCCTTTCAGAGATGAGAGTCCTGCCAAAGCAGAATTTTTTCAACACTTAATTGAAGATCGGACAGAAGCCGCATTCTCTTACTATGAATTTTTGCTTCATGTTCAGCAGCAGATTTGTAAGTGAAGTAGAATAAAACTGAACAAGAAGACAAAGATGCATAGCCTAGGCGAAGTCTGATCTTCCAGAGGAGCATATAACGGGCTGGGAAGGAAGCCTTCTCTGTTACTCAGCAGCGCCTTGCTCTGCCGGAGGTGCTGGCAGGAGGGAGGGGAAGGAGGGCTTGGCCTATGTTAAGGGCAGTGATGATGCTGTTTCACTAAGTATGTTTCAGTTGGTTTCTACACATTTCCAGTAGTGCAGTCGGGAGATTTATGTAGCTGTGTGGAATGACATGTCATAATGTAACATTAGATCATTTTTCTCCTTAATATAACATTTCTGGACTTGAACTCTGACAAGAGATGCCAAAAGGCAGTGGTACTGTGTTACTCGTTTATATGAATTACTTTTTAACAAGGAATGATTCGTATTCATTAAATGAATTGAACATTTTCTCTGTAAAAACAATAGAATTTCAGTACATGAGCTATAGAATATATACATATATATATATATAATGTACATAAGCGTTCCATTTGTAAAGAAAATGTAAAAAATGTAACTACAGAATATGAATTGCTTAAACTGTGCTACATTGTTGGATGACAACTCTTTTTGTCGCAGTTAGAGAATGAGGTTGACTAATGCATATTATGAATTGAGTCCACAAAAGAAACACAAAACCCTTTGTAATTCTGTTAAATCTTTTATGTGGATTTATTTATGATCAGCCTACTAATTAAAAATATTTTGCTTGACAATGGTTTGGTGTTGTTTTGTTTGTTTGGGTTTTTTGGTTAGAAGTTTTTGTGCTTGGGATTTCGTGGTCTTTTTACAGATAGACTCCAATGAAGTTACTTCTTAGAGGAAATACAGTATTTCAGTTAGGAATCTGTAAATCCATACATTTCATTGGTTATCTGTTGGTATTCTAGAAACAAATGGTGCTATTTTCAAAATATATGTAATTACTTGGCTCAGGCGGTAGAGTGCTCACCTTGAACTGAAGAGCACAGGGACAGCGCCCAAGCCCAGAGTTCAAGCCCCACGACCGACAAAAAAAAAAAAAAAATATATATATATATATATATTATATATATATGTAATTACTAAGCATAATCTTAAACTGTCTTACTCATTTAAATTAACATTTCCCCTTATACTTGTAATAAGAAAACTTTAATAACATACTTGATTATTCTTTTAGACTTGAAGATTACATCATGAATTTTGATAGTGTTTTTGTTTTAATCAAATCTTATTCACTACTAGCTTATTTATAATTTAAAAAACTGCTGGACGTAGTAACACTTTGAGTTTAGAATGCGGTTTTATCTTGTCTACCACAAAAGTCCCTGTTGGTGACTTTTGAAGAAAAGCTAGTAGTGGGTGTTGATAATTCTTGTTGGTTTTATGCTTTGGTGGATCTCTTTTCTTTTAGATAAAAATAAAAGAGCTCTCACAGTCTGTAATGGAAATGAGAGGTTAAATGACTCACCCTAAGTGACATTACTTACTAATTAGTGACAGAGCTGGTAATAAGAGGCAAATGTTCTCCCCACCCACCACCTACACCCACTCTGCCCCCCACCCCCAGCACTGTACTTTATCCCTCTAAGAAGAATGGTACTGACTAAGCATCAGGAGAAGCTGCAACTAAACACTGACATTTGACAGTAGGAAAGACAAAAACATATTTTGGCATTCACACAATATTTATGAGCAGGTAATGCTTGCCAGATACTATTTCCAGGCACAAAACATCACCACCACGTCAACAAAGCTTAGGTCCACATGGAGAACGGGAGGCAGAGGCCAAATGTGATGACTCCGAGAAGAGAAATGAGGCTGGGTAAGAAGGCTGGGTTAATGCTGCTTTGACCATGGCAGGGAAGGGCCTTCTGAAAGTTGAGTGCCTTTTTTTTTAGGAAGAAAAGCTAAATAGAGGAATTGGGTGCTAGATGATTGTGCCTTCGGATTGCCCTTTTTGCTTAAAGATGCTGCAGACTCTCAGCAGAGCAGTTGGAAAGAGTGACGTGTCTGTCTCCTAGAAGAACAAGGTGCCCAGTTGACCATGCTGGTCAGTGCAATGGCCTGGCAGCAGGGTGGGCCATATGGAGTTGTAAATCGTAGACTCGGGGAAAACAGCTTTGCTTAGTGTCTTTTCCCTAAGCATGTTCAATGCTTTGTGAAAAGTTGGATTTAATCAACGTTGGGTACAAGAAAACAGAAGCAAAGGAATTAAGAAATTAGCAAGGGGAAAGGGATTTGTATGTGTAGTAAAAATCAGTGAGCTAAGGAATGTGGTGGTTCCTTTGAGGCCAAAGAACTGTTAAGAGTATGAATATCAGGAGGAATGAATTGGAGAGATAATCAAGGTGCTTGGATTTAAACTATGGGGAGTTAAATACTGCTGGTGTTAGATGGATTATGTCTGTCACTGGGCAGTTGAGGTATTTAAGAGTAGAGGAGGTCAGAGCTAAGTAGTCATACATGGATCATCTATGTGTATATTAAGTTGCCCCCTCCCCTCCAATGACTGGAATAGAGATGAGAGATGGGAGGGTTATAAAAAATTGGCAGTGGCAGCAGGTATGATATGGCTTGATGGCCTGAGTTGGAAGACCTAAAGCAGACAAGAGTGAAGAATCTGTATCCTACAAATGAGGAAGAGGGTGCCCCTAGAGTGTGGAATCAAACCCAGCCATTCCCTGGAAGGTGTGCAAGGGAGGTGGAGTCCTCAGAAGTCACTCAACCTGCAGTGTGTGGAGGCTGAAGTCAATGACCTGGGCAGAGGCATGATGGGATTAATTGATGGGATGTAGGTAAGTCATAAGCCATTTGCTTGGTGAGGCTAAGTGTTGGTGAGAGCAAAAGGCATGCTTCCAGGAGGGCAGTTAGTTGAAACTCATTAAAGTCAGTGTTGCTTAGTGTTGGTGCTGAGAATAGGAAAAGATTTTCTCAGGACAACTTTTTATAAATACATCCATCACTCCCCAAATCTCATATTTGACCACTTAAGAAGGGGCTTGACCAGGGATATGTACTGTATCTTAGAAGACTATGTATACATTATGTAAATATGTGTGTCAGATACTAGTTGATGTCTCTATGTGCATAACTCAAGTGTGGTCAGGAAATGCACAGATTAGGAGAAGTGTTACGCTAAGGAAACCAAGAGCCCTTCTTTCAAAATAGCTTCCCACTAATACATTTAACCACTTAGAGATGAAAACGCACAATTAGGTTGGAAACAGCATGGTGGATGCGTTCCCTGTGTCTGGCCATGGTGTGTTCTCAGCCCTCTCGGGGCTCTGCCAGCCAGGCCTCACAGAAGCCACCTGCAGTCCTGGACCAGGACTCACCCGTGATCCTCCTGCCTCTTTCTGCCTTTGAGTACTGACGTTACTGATGGATGTTACCCATGCTGTTCACTTCAATGAAGGCCACTATATGATTCCTTCTCCTGGATTTGGTTTTTGGTCCTTTGTTTAAAAGTTGTTGCTATACCCAAGATCATGTTTATTTTTTTCTAGATTATATCTTCGAGTTTTATGGTCAGACCAGGTTTTTTTTTAATGAGCTTATTAAGAAATTTGTATTTGATGAAATCAAGGATGAAGTGCTTTATTATATCGTATAAAATATATTTACTTGCAGATTTCTCAGAAATTACTGCTCCAACAGAAATGTAGACATGTTCATTTGTTACTTGGGACAATAAAATTATTTAAATTTCACAATTATTTAAATTTTGTCCATGGTATCCATTATATCTAAAGAGTAGGAAAGTTGTCAGGCACGGGTGGCTCATACCTGTAATTCTAGCTACTCAGGAGGGTGACATCTGAGGACTCCAGTTCGAAGCTAACCCAAGCAGAAAAGTCTGTGAGACTTGGATTTCCAGTTAACCACCAGAAAAGCTAGAAGTGGTGCTGTGGATTACATGGTATAGTAAGCTAACCTTGAGCAAAAGGAGCTCAGGGACAGCCATCAGGCCCAGAGTTCAAGCCCCCTGAGGACACACAAAAAAGGCAGGAAAACAGAAGTACAAGCATAATGCACACTTTATGTTTTGGCTTTTGTAAAACTGCTCATTGCAAATACACATAAAAGTGATTTGGCATCTTTTGAAAGCAGTTCCATTGCTTGCTTATTTTACCTTTCCATCATTACATTGTAATGGCTGAAGTGTCCTTACAAAAATTCCTTTTACTAATGCTCCCTGAATGCTGGGTGCCGATGGCTCATGCCTGTAATCCTAACTATTCAGTAGGCTGAGATCTGAAGATCATGCAAAGCCTGCCTGGGCAGGAAAGTCCGTGAGATTCTTATCTCCAATAAACCACCAGAAAACCAGAAGTGGTGCTGTGGCTCAAGTGGTAGAGCACTAGCCTTGATCTGAAGAGCTCAGGGACAGCGCCCAGGCCCAGAGTTTAAGACCCACGACTGATAAAAAAAGAAAAAAAAAGCTCCCTGAAATAGCACGTTACATTAAGTAAGATAGTCACTTTCCTTTAAGGTAATAACAAAAAAAGCTTGTTAAACATATTCCTGGATAGAATTGTTTTTTGTTTTTTTTTTTGGTACTGAACTCAGAGCCTAGGTGCTATTCCTAAGCTTTTTTAGTTCAAGGGTAGTGCTCTACCAACTTAGCCATAGCTCCACTTCTGGCTTTTTGTTGATTAACTGGCAATGAGTCTAATGGACTTTTCTGCCTCATATGGTGGAGGACGTAAAGATGGAATATGATATTTGACTTGGATTGTGTAAAATGGATAATGATTTTAAGATATAAATGTAAGTGTGCTGTGAATAAGACTTCGCTGGTAACTCATTACTTTAGCTGGTAACTGTAATTGTAACTCAGTAACTCCATAACCCTGTAACTCTGCTTCTGCTGTTTTCTGAGCAATGGGAGCCCTAACCCAGAGGACCATCCCCACCCTTTGTTCTGTTCCCCTGCTTTCCACCAGCAGGGGAACCTTGGCAGGAAATTTAAACTTAAGGTGTGCATTTCTTGTAATCATTGGCTAAAACCAACACCCAGCCTCCCCCTTTCCCCGCCCTAGCCCAAAATGCTTAAAAGCCCATATGGGCTGGCCCTCAGGACCGTTTCCTGGGATCCCAACTCCAGGTGTGGTCCTGGCGTGTCAGCACTTTTGGTGCTCAATAAAATCTTTTACATTTTCAGGGCTGAGAAGGTGATTCAGTGGTAGAGTGCTTGCCTTGCATGCATGAGGCCCTGGGTTCGATTCCTCAGCACCACATAAGCAGAAAAAAAAAAAAGCCAGAAGTGGTACTATGGCTCAAGTGGTAGCATGCTAGCCTTAAGCTGAAGACCTGAGGGACAGCACCCAGGCCCAGAGTTCAGGCCCCACGACTGGACCCAAAAAATCTTTTATATTTTCACTGTGGACTGAGTGGTCTCACTGCCCAGGGTGGCTTTGAACCTTGATCCTCAGATCTCAACCTCCTGAGTAGCTAGGATTACAAGCATGAACCATTCTGCCTTATTTACATTGTCTGTAATTGCCTCTGCATGAGCTGCATACAGCCAGAACCTAACCCTGTGGGATATGTTCATATTGCAATACAATCTCTGAGCTGGGCACTGATGATGGGCACTGTAATCTTAGCTACTCAGGAGGCTGAGATCTGCAAATTGTGATTTAAAGCCATTCTGGGCAAACAAATCCTCCAATTAACCAGCAAAAAGGGGAGACTGGAGGCATGGCTCAGTAGTAAAATGCCAGCCATG